AGACATTGCTGGCCCCCAGCCTGTTTGAAACGAGGCTGAGGCACGGTCACCCTGGCCCCCAGCTAGTACGTCTTTGACGAACTATGCCGACCCCAAGCAGATAAGGTCAAGCGTTGGTCGTTTGTATACGCATTCTCCTGCACCGTGCTAGTATTGTCTTAGTATTGCCTATACCTTTTTAGTGCTCGCTGTCCCGCGCCTCGTATTCAACAAAATGCTGTCACCAGGACTCACAGTCTTGTCTCTGATATGGTTTCCTTCATTGAGTGAAGGAAATTGCGGTCAATAACGCTGTAGAAACAAAAAGGAATCCTCATTAAAGGGCAAGCTGAATAGTTGTCAAGTTACCGGGTGGTAGGTTAGGTACAGACAGACACTTAAGTCAGCAAAAAGTGGGGGGGGCAGTTAACATTGCTGGCCCCCCCACCTCCGAAAGTGGGGGGGCCATGGCCCCCCCGGCCCCCCCTGTTCCTACGCCTATGGCCATTTTCTTCAAAACTTATGAATGGCCCACTCTAATTTTTTCACAGGTTGTTAAGAATATGGTAGGCAATAAAATATATGAAAATGAGCCAAATCGAAGGTGGCGTGTTTTTTGCTATTTCAATTTTTGTGCTTAAGAACAGAGTTAAGCAAATTTCAAGGTCATATATTTAAGTCGATGCAATTCTAAACAAATGCTTAAGAAATTTCCTAAACAGTAAGGTTTATTTCATTCAAATCAAACAAGTACAACCAAAGTTATGGCCGTTCAAAAATATAAAGATGCAACATTTTGTAAAAATTTGATGCCCTATATTTAGAAGACCTGTGGTCAGAATGTGCAAAAAACATCAATGTAATGTCCGGGGCGACACAGGAACTCGCTCACAAATTTATAATGAAATCGCTGATGGTAAGGTGCAAAACAGCCGATTTTTGTTCGATTTGACGTGGAATGCCCCTATTTCCATCCGCCAGGATCGTGTCGATCGCGGTGGCTGGGGAGGACGCGGTAGCGGCGGCCGTCAACTCTGCACTGGTGTACTTTACTCTGGCCGATATTACCCTGCTTATCTCAATGGTGGCCTTCCTCTGGATGACCAAAACGGTAAGCGGTGCCGGTGACGTCACGGGAAGGTTGGAGGTCACAGCAGGCTACTTGGGAACCATCGGGAACGTAGGAGCTATGATTGCATATGTATACGAAGCTCGTCGAACTTTCGATGAACCTTTCGTCGACCAAGCGACGAAATGCGAACCATGTCAAGCGATTATCACCGATTATTGAGTTGTTTTTAAGGTTATTAGCATCATTTATTTTCTGAGCTTGCACATCCGAATAGCCTAACTCGTGTAGGAAGCAACCACTTGAGAACTTCATGCAACGGGGACGTTCTATTACTCTTCTGTCAAGCATGTCAGATACGCTGGATTGACGTTCTAGTTGCGGTCGCCGGAACACGGCGCTTCGATTGGCTCCAGTGCTCTCCAATTGTGGCGACTGAATAGGGCTCGCTGCCCCATCGGATCGGACTGCTGCCGGGTCGGAGCGGTGGGCACGGGTCACAGGCTTGATAAGACCGAGACGCAGGGAGCAGGGCGCAGTGGAGAGGGTGCTGCCCTGTCGCCTAAGGACAGGGGGTTCGTGGCTGACCTCACGGTGTCAGTCAACACGATTCATTCAGCGCATCACAAGTCTCATAAGCCGTAATGGAGCTGCAGCCAAACACGGCTAACTCTATTCTGAGCAGACAACAGAATGCAGCCCGCCTTCTGTGAACCCTCGTTGTTCCCATTAGCCCGGGAAAGTTCTGACGGATTACAAACTGAGTGCCTCCGGGTATTCAGGATACCATCAATGTTTAGATCACAATTTTCAGAAATTCAGTCACACACACACACACACATCATCATCACTCTAGTTGCAAATGTAGGAGAATTGCAACACACCTCAACACTGTCCCTCCGAGTTCAACGCAGTCATCTCAGACCGACGTAGCTGCCTTTCGCCTACCGTTTCCAAATGGAAAAAGCACCTTTCGTTTTTCGTTTACAACTGACATGCGTACCGTCTGGGTACGTGTATGCACCGTCTCTAACTGATTTGTGTACCGCCCGTACATTCACAGGCGTTCTACCAGTTCTACACGTCGTCGCACGGCACCAGCTCTGGCAAGGAGGGCGCCACCATCACCACAGCTCTGTCCGGCAAGAAGCCCTCCATCAACGTCTGGAAGGTGTTTCTGAAGGTGAGCGTCTGCTGCGCGTGACTGAGACGGCGTCAGGGGCCGAGCGCGGACGTAGGAGGTCCATATTGAGGTGCACATGCTGGGTTCATAGTGCAGATGTAGGTCAAAGAGCAGCTGTCGAGTTCGTGTGCACCGTATGACGCATTCATGCATTGGACTCATGCATTGTAGGAATGTTGATGTGCTAGAAAACCGAAGTATGAATATCCATTTTGCGATTACCACTTGAAAGCGCGCCAGATACTCATCGATGTACTGATACCATCTCTATGTATTTTCTACGCCAAGTGCGTACTTCAAATGTGTACCTTGCGAAGCACACATTATTAATGTTAGTTTATCCTGTAATGTTTTTCACGGTACCCCGGGCCCCCAAAATGTGACCTGTGCTCGCTCCTGCCGTGTCTCCAGATCAAGTGGTACGCCCTGTCCGTGTGTCTCGTGTTTGTGGTCACCCTGGCCATGTTCCCGGCCATCACTGCCAAGATTCGACCCATGTACACCGGAACAAAGGAGCACCCTTCCATCTGGGCACGTGAGTGACACCGCACCGCTATCCACCGAGAAGGAAACGCAGGATTAGCCCACCGGTCCTATAAAACTGGCACTCGGCGGTGGTTCGATGTTTGTGGGAAGCTGTATGCATGTGCTGCAGCCTGCAGCCAACAAAATGCCGTTTTCTCATGGAACGGGATTTAAGTTTAACGTAATAAACTACCTTCCTGTATAGCAGCGCGTAAAATCGGCTAAAAAAAAACAAGTATACATAAAATTATGTCGACTACAACTCGTGAATAACGATTTCTCGGAAGCTCAAATTTCAATACATACACAAGCTCCTACTGATCGCATGCTCTTCATTGTTTCAGGTGATTACTTTGTGCCAGTGTGCTGTTTCCTGCTATTCAATCTGACCGACTACCTGGGCAGAATCGCCGGCGGATACACAGTCTGGGTAAGTCTGGGAAAGCACCAAGGCGCCCTCAATCCCTCAATATGCCCCCTGACGTCCAGCGAGGCGACGGTGAATACACACCCTGATGGGCGGCGAATCCTTGATGTGCGATGTTTAATTGTTGTTTGTTTATCAGGGCTTGAAGGTGTGCTGACTGCGGTGGCCATTTGGTGTCCATGTGCGATGTTAAATCTAACCAGCATATCCAACTGCGTGGGATGGTTTAGTGATATAACCAATAGGTCAATCGAAGTCATGCTTGCGAACCACGCATACGCGACCCCTGTTACGCTCGTATCGTCAATGACCGTTCTGTCTCCGATCCGCAGCCGAAGAAGCACCACTGGTACTTTGTGCTACTGCTGGTGGCCCTGCGCGTGGTGTTCGTGCCACTCTTCATGTACTGCCACATCGACCACAAGAACCTGACGACCGTCTTTAATCACGACGCATACTACATCATCTTCATGACGTTTTTCGGCCTCAGTAACGGCTACCTGGCCACGCTCTGTATGATCTACGGACCTGGGTGAGTTTAAATGCCATATAGTCCCGTCCCTTCCCCTCTCGGTGGGTAGGTTGGTGGCCCAAAGACCCTCCGTCTTGGTCCCTTGCTGTGTGACACGGTACTTCCGCGTATATCCTTGGGTGACTCGGTATCACCGCCTCTTTCGACAGATATGTGACCCGGTCCTGACCCAGTCTCCCCCGGCCTCAGTCGGCAGGTGTGTGACCCCGTGCCTGACCCTCCTCCCTCCTCCTCGATGGGCAGGTAGTGACCCCGGGCCTGATCCTTTTCCCCCGTCCAGTTCGGCAGGTGTGTGACCTGTTCCCCCCACCTCAGCTGTTGTGTGCCCCCTGTCGTGACCCTATCCCCCGCCTCATTCGGCAGGCGTATGACCCCTGGCCTGACCCCTAGCACCGCCTCGTTCAGCAGGCGTCTGACCCCTGGCCTGACCCCTTTCCCCTTCTCGTCCGGCAGGTGTGTGACCCCTGTCCTGACTCTGTCCCCCCCCCCCCCTCGTCCGACAGGTGTGTGGAGCCGGAGGAGCAGAACACGGCCAGCTCCATGATGGCGGCCTTCCTCGGCGTCGGACTCTGCCTCGGCGCGCTCTTCAGCAACGTCACCATCAAGATCATCTGAGCGTGCGCACCACCCGCCGTCACACGTCACGTCACGTCACAAGCGGCTCGTGACGAACCCGGCGCACCTCGTGACGAGCTTGGCGCGGTGCTTCGGTTTGTCTCCGGGCCGGGCACACGCCAGTGATAGTCAATCAAACGTTTGGCGGAGAGCAGCGCGGTGCTGGCAAACGGACGTTAGTGTTGCCATCATGTGCTGCCGCCTAGCGGAAAAGAAACGATCGACAGGTTCGTTGCATGATCACCAGGTGGCAGAGTGGAAGGGACCATTTGAGACGGCGCGAGCTCTCCGCTGCGAGAAAATGAGAGTTACGTGTCGCCCTTAGTCAAAACGACTCGCCAAATTGAGTTACTTTATCGTGATATGTTGTCACTTCCACGGATCGGTTGCGATTCAGCGTCGCCGATGTTCCTCGTTTGCATCACCGCAGCTGTAATGTCGCCTCATATCGAACGTGTGAATTGTGATGCTTTCATCGGATGTCGCTCCGCTCCAACTGTTGCCTGTTGATGTTACACGTATCTGTTTTAGAGCGCTGTCAATAAAATCTGACCAGCGATAATCGTCAACGTTATTTATCAACATCATACAGTGAAGTCCACTTTGTTTTCTCATGATGTAAAAACCAGTCATTTCCTTCCGTGATATCCCACACAAACAACACCTGTTGTCTTATCACTGTCCTGTATTGCACCATCGCAAGGACTATCACATCCGACACGGGGATCGCCAAATAACCCAACCCTCCGCGGCTAACAGACGTCAGTCCGAGACCACACAACGGCAGCGGCGCCCGAACCGGTGGGCGTATTGGGAGTCTGTCACATCGGAGCACCAACAAAAAACAGCGCAAACTGGCCCAGGGGTAACGTTATCGAGCATTGCTCCGCCAGACATGTGGATAATGAGGTACGAACATTGAACAACCGAGCCCAAACATAGATCACGAGCTGCTGCGCGCATCTCTGGATACAGTTCACAGGACATCATAATGTCAACGATTCGTCGCTGTCAGGGCATCTCGAGTGCCGTGATGGGTTCTCGTTTTAAGAGCATTGTTTCACTTATCCCAGCAGGTACAAAAAACATAGTGTAGTCGCCACGACGCCGACGACACCAGGGCTGCAGCTCTCAGCGCGAATTATGCCACACAACGCAACGGTAACGTTCACAGGAAGCCATAACATCTACAGCTACACACACTTCTCCCCACAGCTCGCCCCCTCAGCTGCCCCGTAGTCGTCCCGTCGCGTCCTTTATCGCCGTCTGCAGCCGACCCTCGCCGCTCTGCTGCTGGGGTGTGGTCCCGGCCGGCACCGCTGGAGCCGGTGGGGGCACCGGCGGAGGGTTCAGCGCCACCAGTCGGCGCGTCAGCTCGCGGAGTCGCGTGTCCTGCTCCTCGGCCGTGAAGCGCAGGTCGTCCAGCGCCGTCTCGAGGGAGCGCAACCTGGCGTGCTGGGCGGCCTCGCGGGCCTCCTCTTTGGCTGCCGAGCGGTTGTATTCGTAGAGTAGCACGCCGGTAGCGATACCCAGAATGACACCTGTGAGAGAGCGCCGCGAGTCGCCGGTTAAGGAGCACCGCAGCTGCAGGCATGTGTGTGCATTTGGGCAGATTTAAGAGGTGGTGAACATTATGACAGCAAAAGGCTGTGTTTGGTAACTTCATGAAACTCATGCAATCATATTTTATCAAAGCAATACAATTAATAAAAGGGTGAAGAAGTAGACCATTCCGTATTATTTGAGAAGCTGAGTCAGCATTGATTAGTGGGAATGGATGAACAACAAAATTTCTTTTCAGGCTTACCTTCTCCAAGCATGTTGGCCCCAAGATCGATAGCCATTGCTTCATTCAGCTTTGGAATATCTCCGGACCTCCCCAAGTTCATGATCCACATCTTTGTTCGTACCTCACACCAATGATACACTGGGAACAACAGCAATAAGAACATTAAACAGTAAAATACTCATAATAAAAAAGTTTATAAGAACATAAAACACTCATCATAAAAATGCTTTAATTCAGGCTCTTGGGAGGATGTACAATTACACGTGCCTATGATAAATGATGTATAAAGCACTATTTTACACAAATTAATAGGCATTAAAAATTAGATCAGTGGATGAATACATTATATCTGCAATCTGTTGCAAGTTTCCAATGTCTATAAAAAGTGTTACAGCACATTATGTTCAACAATTTCTAGTTAGCACCAGGGATGAGGCCACAAGGGCTAATGATGTGATTTAGGTGATAAAAATGGCATGCCCGATAAACATGTTTTTGACTGGATGATGCATGATGTCACTGATAAGTGACTGGTAGGCATAAAATAGTACTTCATAGCCTGGATTTCCATAGCTGTAGACATCTTTTTGTCACTACTGAATTGCACTGATTTTCCATGAATACTCACATTGTGCAGGTGGCATGCACACGTAGGTGCGGAAAAAGTAGCTCCTTTTAGCCCGCTCTTTGATGACATTGGCCAGTGGCTTGCTGACCTGTTTGATTACCAGTGTGCCAAGCTTGGCCAGTGGAAAAGCAGCCACCATTTTGGCTGTCTCTGTCTGTGAAGAAATAAGGGACAATATAAGAAGTTTATCAAAAATGAATTAGGTGCCTATGACTCATGTCAATGCATGCAAATCAATCATGATGCAACATCATTGTTATTCAAGTGCAGAAACCATTCACTCACAAGGGCGGTGAATATTCCAAAATGAAACAACAAACAACATCGACATCCTTCTTCATCCACTTGCATTATTTGGGGCACCAAAAAGAAGACAAATAAATCCAGTAGTATTCTTTAGTCTAATCAGCAGTGAGTATTAGGGCTTTCCTGCTAGAGAGCAAATCGAAATGAGACATTCACGTATTTTTGGCTTACGGAGGCCAACGAACACCTTTTTTGAACAGAATAATTTTTTGTTCCATTAATGGCGCTGTTGTGACAAAATAGTGATTGCAAATTTTCCCCGTGCTTGACTGGTTGATATTCTTTCTGCAACTTAGGTGGTTTTAATTTTCTACAGCTGACACGCTTGGATATAATCTTCTGCAATTCGTGCACAAACTGAGGTAGGTTCTAATCTGCACATTCAATGCCGGATGTGTCCGATCAGCGAATTCGTAATCTAGCTTTTCTTTCCGAAATCAAAATGCGAATGCTTTTACGATAAATATTCAGATGCCATGATCGACAATAAGTTCTTGTAATATCACATAGGATGAGGATAGTGAATATATTGTTTTCACTTGGGAAAATAGTTGTTTGTATCATTGACCAATCGTTCATAGACAAGCCCTGGGGACTGACCGGTCGCAGTCGGTGGTGTCTGTAGTCCGGACGTTGACGGCTCGATAACAATAGGCGGCTGGCGGCTGGTGTTCCTTCTCGCCTAATAGATACCCTTTCGGTCGTTCCTCAGACCCAAGGCTGAATCTTCTGCCCAATACTTCAAATAAAAGCTAAACATGCCAATCAATGGTGGGAATCTGGGAAAATTTAGTTACTTTCCGGAGTACTTTCCAATTCCTGAATGAAATAAACTGGATTACACCATTGTCTGATTGATCAGATCTCGATTTTCTCTGACGGCTATCTGATCTGAGGACCTCGCTCACGCCCGCCGCACGGCCATAGCGACAAGATCACGCGACCCGATCCGAAGCGAACTGCAGCCTACTGACCACTCGAGCTCCGAATGCCTGACTCGAGAGGACAGGTGTCCCCCCGGGTCAATTGCACGTCTTTCGGCGCAGATACTGGGCTTGGGGCTCATGGCAAACATCGACAAAGTGTGACTACTGACTAAAATATAGTTATATTAAATGATAAAATAACTCGACGGTAGTCTGCAGACTTCAGATCTGCCGAGTGGCGGTGTATGCCATTGCCGTGAAACATATTCGGCCGCCCCGCGCAGACGACATACGAAGTCACGCTCGATGAAGACGTTATAGCGCTTAGTGAAGGGCCGGGGCAACATTAGATGCGGAAGACATTCGGGCATTTCTGCCCTAAAACATTTAGGTATTACAGGACCGGGAAAGTTGGTGTTATCAATTCTCTTGCGGTGATTGATCAGGAATATATTTTTACCGGGACTACTTTGTCGTTTCAGCCGCCGCCCTCGACTCTCTCCGGTCGGCCCGCCTGCCGTCGCCGACTATGACCGACTCGGGGGACCACTCGTCACACGGCGGCGGGGACTCGGACGTCGAGGCCGCATTCGTGCCCCCCGCCGACCGGGCTCCTCACCCGGCCGTCGGTGGCGACCCGTCGCCGCCGTCGGAGCCCGAGGACGCCGACTCTGACGGCCCGGAGCCGGCAAGTCGCCGATATGGGCTGGACGCGACCTTTTGTCGTCGGGCGCGCGTCCTGCTGGGTGTCATGTTCCCGTCGTGCGGCGCTTACACTGTGTTCCTGCTAATGGCGCTAATGGTGGCGTGCGGTGCCGAACAGTATGTCGTGTACTGGGTGGGCATTATACCCAGCCGGTACTACCAAGTGCTCGGTGACAAGGATTTGGACGCGTTCGGTGTTCTCACGTCCGAGTGTCTCGGCCTGGTTCTGGTCATCTCGTTCGTCAAGGGCACCCGCATCTTTCTGTCGACGGTGCTGTACGTCAACTGGCGGCAGCTGATCGATCGGGCGCTGCACCGTCGCTACTTCACCGGCATCAACTACTACCTTCTGAACGTGCTCGATCAGCGCATCGATAACCCGTGAGTGCTAGTTCTTAAGTACTGGGCTAGTGGGAATTTTAAGAATCAGAGTCGCCTCTTATTTTGTTTTTGTTTTGCATCTTGCACTTTCGTGTGCTCAAAGCTGAAATCTTTCGTATTTTGTCTATAATATGTTTGATAGGGATGCTTAACGATTTACTCAATCATTTAGGACTTAGCTATAGTCCGTTTTTCTTAAGTTTGCCCCTCACTGTAAACGTCTCTTTGAACACAGCACGAGAATTGCTCGCTGAATTACTGAGAAAACTGGTTAGCGCACATTGTATTGTAGATATGAATAATATTTTCAAAAATAAGTTTTGAACACCGACGATTTAACGTTATGTTAAGCGCCGTGCAATTTATTTATTAGTTCAGACATAATTCCTGAGAAGTCGTCTATCCCAGTGGGGCTGTAGGTATTGACAGATACGATTTACGAGTCTGTGAAATAGTAAATAAATTTGATGAAATTGATCGTCTGTGAAATCTGGTTAAATCAGTGTGCGCCAACCAGTTTTCTCAGTAATTCAGCTAGCAATTCTCGTGCTATGTTCAAAAAGACGTTTACAGTGAGGGGCAAACTTAAAAAAAACGAACTATAGCATACTCGTATACCGAACATAAGCTGACATTTCTATCTGTTATAGGCCAATGTTTGGAATGAATCCCGTGGAAATCATTTTTTTATTTTAGCAATGTAAATTGTTAGCTGTGCGTTTTGTTTCTGTTGCGATGTGTCGTCCCGCCGTTCATATTCCTCCTCCCGTAACCCTCCGTTGCCTTTTGCAGTGACCAGCGTATCACTCAAGATGTCGACAAGATGTGTAAAACTCTGAGCACCATGATCGCCCAGCTACTCGTAGCTCCATTCATCATTGGATACTACACCTACGCTGTATACTCCAAGTAAGTCGACTGCTACGAGAGAAGAATCGCTGTCTCTTTTTGTCCAGACCTGGAATTATTGTTTGCATGTTTCATCCAGCATTGCTGAAGTTGATTTCCTGGATGTTTACATTGGTAGTCTTCCATCGAAATTGTTCCGTAAACTTGTGTCATCTGGCTCGATATACCCGCTTCCGAATTCGTTGTTCTGTGGCAATCCTACGCCATCGTCCACAGCACGGGCTACATCGGCGTGCTGAGCATCTACGGCTTCTTCGTGGTGGCGACGGTGGTCAACAAGGTGATGATGACGCCGATCGTGACGTACGTGGTGCGTCAGGAGGAGAAGGAGGGAACCTTCAGGTTAGTCAGGGAAGGCGTGGGCTCCAGTCGTGCTCAGTGTGTGCGCTGCTTCGTTGCGCAGCGTTGCATTCTGGTATTCCGCTGCGGAATGTTGTCAGTTGTAGATCGGGTTAAAAAAAAAAACGATTAAGTCAACCCTTTATTTGAACATTTCGGTAGTGTAAGTCTTGTTCAAATAAGTTGTTTCATTTCATTTTTGTTTTATTTTGTTGGGTTAGGCCCTTACGTCCAATGGGACCATTTCAGAGCCGGGAGGATGATAGGATATAGGGGGAGACATTGGTTTGGGCAGGCACCCTAGTGAGTCACCGGGGCTGTGCCCGTCCAGAGGACAGGCCACCCAGCCCCAAAGTACTCACTGCACCCGGCTACGGGTGCAGTGACTACGGGTCCCGGCTACACTTTCATGCCTGAAGTAACGCATATCGTGTTTCATCGGGGTTGGAGGCTTGCGGTCCAGCATGGTTCAGACGCAACGCCCAGCCCTAGAGACATTTTTCGCCGAAGTAAAGATTAGAGCTTTGCGGCACAGCATGATACAGGCGCAACGCCTAGAGACATCTATCGGCGAAAGAGAGAAGCTTAGTGTCATGCGGCACAGCATGCAGCAGGCGCTGTGTCTCAGAGACATCTATCGGCGAAATAGAGAAGCTTAGTGTCATGCGGCACAGCATGCCGCAGGCGCTGTATCTCAGAGACATCTACCGGCGAAATGGAGAAGCTTAGTGTCATGCGGCACAGTATGCATCAGGCGCTCGATTACCGCGACATCTATTGTCACAGGGCTGGCGAGTGGCGATACACTTATGCCTGAAACAAGACTCTTTCCGCAGTCAGGAAATCGCATGCGAGAGCCTATTCAAATCCATGGGACTTGGAAGCACGCTCGCATCAATCGCACGCACCTCCCGGATGCGATTGATGCAGGAAGAATTATAATGTAGGTATTTGAATAGGCTCTCGCATGCGATTTCCTGAACGCGGAAAGAGTCTGTTTCAGCCTTTAGACCGGCTATACATCAACTGGATGCAAAACCCGAATGGATCGTCCCGATCGTCCCTTACCAGATTCCACCTCGTTTCCATCTCTTTCTCCGTTAGGTTCAAGCACATGCAGATCCGCGTGCACGCCGAGGCGCTAGGCTTCCACGGCTGCAGCGTGGTGGAGGAGCACCGCTGTAACCGCCGGCTCGGGGCGCTCGTCGCCACCCAGCTGGCACTCTTCAACCGGCGCTTCATGCTGACGCTGGTTGTTAATCTGTTCGACTACCTGGGCAGCATACTCAACTACCTGGTCATTGCCATCCCGATCTTCGCCGGGATGTATGACGACAAGACGCCGCAGCAGCTGAGCGCTATTATCAGTCAGGTATGCCTGTCCGAGGGTGGGATTGGGAACTCTGACTGTTGCTAGCTGGCTCATATTGGGTGTAGAGTGCAGATGTTGTCACATTTAGTCGTTTTTTTCTGTCGTAAAGCTGATATAAACTTTCGATGTGGGTATGCGATATTATCAATTGTGATTTCCTTCAGTAATAAAGACCATCGATCTCGGGCTCAAAGCTGAGCAACTGAATGAGGCGAGCTGAGTGAGCTGAGTGACTCAAACATTACTGAATTCAGCTCAAGAATGCTTCTCGTCATTAACTCGTCAACCTCAATCGCCAGTTTCCGTCTCTGACTGACTTCATTCCCCTCCCGTTCCAGAACTCGTTCGTCTGTATGTACCTCATCTACAACTTCACCCAGCTGGTGGACCTGTCCTCGAGCGCCACAGAGGTGGTGGGCGTCACACACCGTATCGGTCAGCTTATGGAGCGTCTGGACACTCTGCAGAGGAGGCGAGAGAGCCGCACTCCGTCCCCGGAGCCGGCCGGTGGGGACGGAAAGGCGCCGCCGCCGCCCGGAAAGGAAGGAGAGGGGGAGGGAGAGAAGGGAAGGGAAAAGGTGAAGGAGGAGGAAGTGATGAAAGGTGGTGATGAAAAGAAGGCGGAGGATGGGGACGAAAGGTGAGTGTCGTCGATTTTACATTAAAAACTTTCCAAATGAAATCGTTCCTGATGAATACGTAATGCACTTCGCTAGATGCGACTGCTTCGGATAAAATGTTATTTTCTGTATGACCCTTCTCAGCTGTCCTGTACGACTACGAGTATGATTTGATTGACGTCACTAACCGTTTCTACAATCACCGCGTCTGCTCTGGCCCTAACGGTAGCTCCCTTCCCTCTCTCTCCCTTACAGCGCTGACGCGGACCCGACCAGCGCGCGGTTCGACACTCCGTACCGTCTACACTCGGTGACAGTACGCGCGCCCGGCGGCCGCCAGCCATTGGTGGCCGACCTCAGCCTCACGGTCCGCCGCGGCCGCAGTCTGCTGGTGACCGGCAGCAGCAGCAGCGGCAAGACCAGCCTGCTGCGCGTGCTGCGCGGCCTCTGGCTGCCGGCGGCCGGCTCTGTGCGCCGCACCGTGCTGCCCGGACCGCGGCATGTGTTCTTCATGCCACAGAGACCGTTCTTCACTGACGGGTCGCTTCGGCAACAGGTTAGTAACGGGAATAGGGTGTAGGAAAGGGAGAGGCAGAGTGTTTGGACAGGCGCTGGGGGTCAGGTGTGTCACTCGATATCAGCGTGAACTGGGAGATGGAAGGTTTGGTACCTTGTGGCTAAATGAGGGGTCAAAATAATACATATTCGCCAGTTTAAATATCTGATAAAAGCAAACAAATGGAGAAATGCATCAAGAGAAACAATCTTGAAAATGAGCCTGTTTGGCATTTGAGTGCAGGTAAGCGAGCCGGTCGATTGCACCATGGCATGCCCTGTGCTGCCTGTATCCAGTACATCGAACCCTCTCGGTCATGATAGGTACCTTTGCTTCATGCCCTTATTTACTTGTCAGATTGTGTACCCGGAGCGTCTGAAGGAGGACGGCTTCTCGGCGGCCGAGACGGAGCAGATGCTGCACTACCTGCATCTGACGCAGCTCACCGGTCTGGCTGAGCGCTGCGGCGGCCTGGATGCCGACGTCGCCAGAAACTGGTCAGTGGCTGGAGCTTCTGCCGCTTCTGCACTCATCATTCGCTCACTCGCGACAGAAAAGGAAGGGATGCCTGGCCAATGTTGTTTTTCGCCTGCAAGAGTGCTTGGCTCTCGCCGTATAGCGACAGAAAATTATATGACAAATTTTAGGAAATGCTAGGGCGCCTTTTTAAAGCTTCTTGCGAAAGTAGTGTGAAGTTCGACTTGCTATCCATATGTGCCACCAAACGCTCGGGGGATCAAGAGCCGTCACCGATATTTAGAACGACCACCATCTCCTATCGTCTGGCTGACGGTGCCGTCCGTAACCCTTCAGGTACGACCTGCTATCGCCGGGCGAGATGCAAAGGCTCTGTTTCGTTCGTCTGTTCCACCACCGTCCCTCGTTTGTGTTCATGGACGAGGCCACGAGCGCCGTCAGTCCCGACATGGAAGAGATCCTCTACCAGGTAAGATTTTTTTTTCTGAAATTACGATATCAAGCTTTAACCATTCAGTGATAATGGAAAAGCTCCTGTGCCGATATCTGGACCAGGATTTTGACGTTCAAACTTGACATCTGACCTGCATATGAAGCTGCATTCTGAAGTTTTGTTTGCTTACCGATAAAACATTTTCGAATTTTAAAGTTAGCGCAATCAAAGCGTCAATCAACGGGTGCCTCATTGCGCCGTCTCAGCATGGCATGCATTGAGCGATAAGTTGCTGTATCTTCGCCCGTTTCACGAACTATCTGCCTAAAGACGTACTGCCCACTGCATGAGACGGCTGACGTCTGTGTGATATCCGCCAGGAGTGTCTGCGGCTACAAATGACCCTGTTCAGCGTGGGCCACCGTGAGAGTCTGACATCCTACCACGACTGGAAGCTGCACCTGCTCGGCGGTGGCCGGTGGTCGCTGGAGCCCATCGCGCCGCCCGCCTACCGTGCCGCGCAGGAGTAGCGGCAGAAGAGACCGCCCGCCTACCGCCCGCCTACCGTCCGCCTACCGTCCGCCTACCGTGCCGCGCAGGAGTAGCGAATGTAGGGACCAGTCGCCTATGGCCTGCCTACCGTCCGCCTACCATCTGCCTGCCGTGCCGCGCAGGAGTAGCGGCAGAGCGTACCGCCCGCCTAGCCTCCCCAATCAGGAGTAGCGGACGCTGACGGCATCGTTTTCCGCCCCCGGAAGGCAGCTGGGAGCCGTCTCATCCTGCTCACTCTCCGCAAAACAATGCGCTAACCATCACGTGAGAGGAATATGTTTTCCCGCCGATAGCGTGCCTTAGGATTTCTTAGTGAGTTTTAAAAGGATGTTTTATCGTTATATAGGCTGTGCTTAGCAGGGTAATGTATGAATGAAATGCGAGGAGTTGCACCTGCTAGTCTATGGCTAAATGCTATGTTGTGGATGTTTTAGTCAATTTTACAATGCAAGGTTTTGGAACCAACGAGATTTCCCTGCATTATAACTGCCATATTTGCTGCCGCATTTAAATCAAATTTTTATATTAGCATGACGTTTTATTTGTTAATCGTTATGTTGTTTTTATTTGGTAAAAGGGGAGTTAAAACTTTCCAGAGGAATGTGGGTGAATAATTATTGGTTATCTTTGATTTTTTATCATATGCTCGCACATGCGGTGGGAGCAGACTTTGTCGAGATATGGGAGCTAATTATACACTGAATGTTAATAATTCGGTACTTGCCTGTATCGCATACATACGATTTGTGTTCGTGTCGTTTGGTATATCGTTTCTTTTCTCAACATCAAGAAAAGAACGGAATGTTTTGCGTCGCTTCCTAGTCCATGGGGTGTGCGAATGTGTATGCCTCTTCAATTTTTATGTGATTTCGCTGCATTTTTTTGTGAATACTGTCAAGTAAGTCGTGAGTACATTGTACGTTCAATCATTAATAACGCCACGAGGGGAACACTTATATGTATAAATGTAAACGGGTCGGAACTTTTAGTATGTTCACATGTTTTCATGCCTTGATTTATTCCCACTGGGTTCGCTCATGCACCTGAAGTGGCTCAGATGTGATTCAGGGAACATATACAGCAAACAATAAATGACGTGCCAAAACTCAGGAAAAACAGCGATGGCGTGATAGAATAAGAAATGCATTAAAAAATGCACCGGCTTGTTCTGATTACGAATAGGCATTCGAGTGGAGTGAGGTGTAGCCTCAGGTTGTCGGTTCGAATGTGAGAACCGGGTGGGCCGCAGCCGTGTCGCCGAGAGTGTGGAACTCGTCCTTCGTCGTTTCGTTTTCCGTTCTCGCCTATCGGGAGTGAAGTGGCGAAGCAAGCGCGTATCTCACGTGCTCTGGTCGGGCGCAGCGGGTCAGGTGAGGACGTGGACCGGTGGGTCACTACGAGACGCCGGTGGCTTGACTGATAGCGGGTGCCGGATGGCTAAACAAGCTGCTGATGGTCGCGGCGGAGCATAGCTGACTGCCGGGTGGATGAATGGATGCGTATTGCGGTCTCACGGTGTACTGCGAAGCGGAAGCCGGAAAGTATGCTATCACGGTTATGAATTTCAATCTATCGTAGATGTAGAGGCAGGGTCAGTTATCACTGTCCCTCTTGTACCTTTTGTATTTGACCCCAAGTCCCAAAGCAAAATGAAGAAAAATAAATGGATCATGGTGAATCCAGATCGCCGATCGGACATGGATGTCAGTCACTGAATTCAACTCCCCGTTCAAATGATTATTGTAGGCTCAACACATTTAGGTAGAAGCCGTTGGGCTTTGAGCAGCCGTTTTGCTTTAGCTAGCACACGCGCGTAACAAATGACATGCAAAACCCCAGTGTTTTTCCCAATCTGACGCGCTTATGCAATGCTTATGTGGCAATGAAGGATTTCTCCTGTTTTCCCTTCATATGGTAGCGCTGAACTTACCTTGGATATGGTAGCACAGCTGCGAGCAAAACAAACATGACGTCACGCACAACGCAGATGTGAGGCCTTGGGGTCGCACGTCTTTGTCATTGTTGTTGTTGGGAAATGCTTTGAGAGGATTTGACTAGCGGACTATTTCTTTGCTGCACCATGGTTTGGCGTTTTCCATGGTCAGATAGCATCAAGAAGCGAGCATGTAGATATTTGCTGCAACGATATCTAGGTCAATTCCTAAAGGAGAAGCTCACTTTGGAACAGCTGAGCGTCGACATCTACGAGGGCACTGGAGAAATCAAGGACATTCTTCTGGATGTTGATGTAAGTAAAAAATGGAATATTTTGCTACTTTTTTATCCTCCCCTGGCAAAGGTCTGCACCTGCCATGCTTGAAAATTGGTGGAAGTAAAGCAACCCGAGCTGCGTGTCTTTGTCTGCGCGTCAAGTACTATTGCCTTTCTTCTGAATAATTTGTATGCTTGGCCTGATTTCAGAGCAGTTCCTGCCACTGGGCATCAGTGCTGTATTTGCTTAATGTCAGTTGGATCACAACAAATGGATTCTGAATTGGAATATTTGGGAACATTAGTTTTGTCCTCAATTAAAATGACTTATACTGCTTGCTTCTATTGCTGCCTGTACTTGAAATGAGTTTTGATATAATGTTATCATTTCAGGCAGGCTGAATCATATTTTAACTCTTTTCTTCTCTTACCTTCTTTGTGGCGCCCAAATTGGAGACAAATTGCAAAGGGCATTGCATGCTGGCTTTGTGTTGTCTTTGTGTTATGTTCAGGTGCCTTGCATTGTCCTACATCCTTTATGGAAGAGGCTCAGCTTTTTCAAAGTTGTAGCTGGAAGAGGACTCTTTAAGAACATTATGCTCTTGTAAATATATGCATATTTCCTTGCATATGCATATATTTAGTTTTGCAGTCTTGTAATATGTTATATATTGTATTCATCACACCTTATGCTTATACTTTCCACTTACTTTTTAATTCTTACTATAATGAAATTTGCCAGAATGTCTAAGTAGGTAGGTGGTAGCTGATCAGATAAGTGATGAATCACAGATGATGGAAGGTACTGGGATGTATGCCACAGGCCACCAGCAATGGGTTTGGACTTGACCTTTTTGCAAGGCAAGTGTCTTATCAGACATCTTTCTGAGGGTGAAAAGAGCTCATCTATTATTCAAGATATATAGAGTTCTCTGTTTTGGTGTAAGATGAGTACAACATGACTGGCTGCCCAATGCAGTAAAGCATTCCAAATTCCTGAGGTTTCAGTGCATTGTGCAAAAAGCCACCAGAGATTTTCATAAGGCATTAATAAAAGTGATCTTTCTCAGCTGATATCATCTAAGGTTTTGCATGCCAATTGTTTTACTTGCTATTGTGCACATTTCCTCTGTCCCTGTCTGAAATAAAAAAATTATGAATAGCAAGGGGAATTGGGCCTAGCTAGATGCTTATTTTTAAGCTGAAAAGCTACTGTGCCCAGTTTTGACCAACTGAAGTTGAAGCTAGACTAAGGATTGGTGCAGCGGTTTCAGGTTTGTCACATTTGTTAAATCCCCACAGGACCAATCGTTTTTATGAGGCTAAAACGCCACTAATTTAGCCAGAAACTCGTGAAAGAGGGCGAGCAAATTGCTTGGTACAAGATCCAGCAAATGGTATCTGGTTTTGAGACATCAGGTCAACTGGCGACCTCTGAGGTCAAGTAACAACTCAAAGGTCGGGATCCGATTTTTGGCATGTATAACGTCGACGAAAATGATCGAAAATGATCGCGTCTGCGAAGCGCCGGGGGCAGCGCGTCGGCTGTACGGCATCCCGCCCAGGGGGGGGGGGGCATATGGGATCCGTGTAGTGAATCCGGCCGCTCTCCACGGCCGGACCGCCACCTCGAGAAGGCGGATCCCTCCAGACGGCATGTCACCGCGGAGGCCGATCCACCAACGCGCCTTAGATCGACCACCGGCTGGCGTCAGCAGGGACGGTCGGCGCTGCTCGAGGCGGGCGCCGAGGGGTTGGAGGTGGAACCGCGTTAGCAGGTTCCTCTCCTCCCATGAACATTGAACAGCCCACCGCTCGATTGTCTTCAAGCTGGACGTCGGTCCCGGCGGCTGACGGGACGCCCCCAACGAGGTTCGACGAGAGACCGCACGGGAACCCCTGGCGACGCTCCCAGCCCAGGCCACCTGGATCTGGTAGGACGGCTCTGCAGACGCAGGGGTCAGGCGAGGAGGAGGCGGCGCCGTCATCTTCACCGCCTCGAGGGAGACCGTTGAGGTTGGGGTGGCAGCGGGAGAGCTGTGCTCCAACACCCGCGCAGAGCTCTTCGCCCTGCGGGCGGCGCTGGAGAGGGTCCGGGACGAGCCGTCTCTCACCCCGCTCGTTGCTTGCTCCGATTCGAGAGTCGCCCTGAGTCTACTCAACGCAGGAGCAGCCGCTCAGACCTCCACCCTCGGGGCGGAGATTTGGACGACTCTGATGGATATCGCCGAGCGCCGTGAGGTGACACTGCAGTGGTTTCCCGTCCACTGCGGGATCGAGGGTAATGGACGCGCGGACGAAGTGGCCAAACAAGCGGCTTTCTTGTTGACACGGGCAGTCCATCGGGCGGCCACTCGTCAGTTACGCGACAACTGACCCGAATCCTTCTTCAAGACCGTCTTGAGGAGTGCTCTGCCGCTCCCCATCCCCGGAGAGGACCGAGAGGCCGCCGTTTCGGTGCAGCAGATGAGGGTGGGCGGGCCACTGGGGCCGTTCGCTCCAGTATCTGCACTGGATCGGCCGTCTCCCCTCCGCGGCGTGCCTGCAGTGCCCTGACAAGCGATGCCCCACGGCGCTCTGCGCCGTGTGCCGGGAGGAAGCGGACGTGCCGGAGCACGCGCTGCTCCGCTGCCCGCCCTCGCTGGCGGCCGTCTGCGGCTAAAGAGCAGCACACATGTCGACCCGTCGCGGCTGCGGGACGCCGATCAGTGGCTGCCATGGACGTGGTGGCCGGCTACCATCGCCACAGGGAGCTGCTCGGCTGTGGTCCTCCGTAAGGAGGTCCCAGCAGGAGTAACAACAACAAGAACAACAACAAGGATGCCTGCAGTACGCAGAGCAGCGGTCTCAGTAATATCGCGTCTCTTCTGTCCAGAAGCGTCAGATGATATGCTTTTGTTTGGGACAGGCCATCTTGGGTATCGACTTAGGTCAGGTAGGTCAATGAGGGTAAGGCCAGGAAACCTGTCGAGTAAGGTCACGTTGCATATCTTTCGAATCAGCAGCTTGTTCTGGGGTTATTGGTGTCGTATTCGACCCGAATTCGCCAATTCCATCGGAAGTTATTTAAGAAGAATGTTTTGGTCTCAAATGACATCAGTGATGCCAGATGTAACGTCATTTAAGGCCGAAAATGCAATAAATCAATTCACTTGTTGCGACTGTTATGTTGCCGCCGTCTCACTCACAAGCATTTCTTCATCAGACGGACTGTATTGGATCACGGCCGGTCAGAGAGTGACCATCAGTCGGTCAGCGGCGGTTCGTCTCGACCGCGCAGCTCCCCGACCTTCGACCCCGCCCCCAGGCAGTCAGTCGGTCAGCTGCGCCGAGCGGCGGCCCGGGCGGTCACACGAGCGGTCACACGAGCGGTCACACGACCAGCACATGCAGCAAATAGACGGCGCTCACAGCAGCGACTATGGCCGTGTATAAAAGTGTGGGCTGTATTCAGACAAACATATGACCGGATTAACTAAAAGTTTCAACCGACTATTCAAAGAACTAAGTAAATGACCGCCATATCTTGTGATGATATACGCAATCAAAAACGACAACCGTCGCAGTCAAAACAGCACTGGGATGACCTTACCGATATCTATCCGGAAAAGTTCCAATTTGGGATCGACACCGGGTTGCAACGCGCTGCCAGCGTCCGCCGACCCTCCATCACTACTGTCCGATAAGCCGACCAGCGGTACAGCAGTACAGCAGCCGGGGTGCAAGAGTCGGCCACTAAGCCGCACTCTCCCGGTGCCTGAGCTGACGTGCCGTCACTCTACCCCGTGTGCAATAGGTCGGCCGCAGATTAAGGCCGTACCTTACGGGCTCGAGATCCGGACGCCAACCGACTGCTGACGGGCGGTCGCCACCGAGGGTCGGCTCCGCCCACTCGCCCGCAGGCGGCCGGTCACGTGTCCCGGTCAGCGGCCCACAACTCGCGCGCCCCGTAGCCGACCGGTTCGGCGGGGACTTACAATTCCGGCGGTCACAACTCCCAACATCACTTCGCAACCGACCGTAATGCATCGAGGTTAGGGTGAGGGTGAGGGGCCTTTATATGCTCTCCCATCTACCTCGAACATAATGTAGGGCCGTATCACCCCCGTTCATTTCCCTCTTCTCCCCTCTGCGGCAGGCGCTGAACGATGTGGGCGCTGCCAACAACCTGCCACTGGAGTTTGTGGACGGCTACATCCGCCAGGTGCGCGTCAGCATCCCCTGGTCGACGCTGCTGACGGCCAGCAGCTCTGTGGAGATCAGCGGCCTAATGCTCACCGTGCAGGCCAAACAGATGCTCGATGACGGTCAGTGGATAGAGGACGGAGAGGAGGGGTGATTGGAGGCTGTTGATTTTTATGTGGATACTACTTAATTGTATGATAGGCTGTTTGTCTTTCAAATTTCGTTTTCATTCTTATTGATTATGTTCGTTAAAGTCCCTTTCCAAGTGGGTGATTTGTCAACTCAACTATACTCTTATTGTAGTGATATATCAATCGACCAGTAAACCAACGTCTAGCCTGTTGTTGATGCCCGACTTCACCGCTTCTCTCCTCCGTCCTCTCGAGCAGCCGCCATGTTCGACTCCATGCTGGACAGCATGTCCACCAGCACCATGGACATGGCCAAGGAGTGTCTCAGCCAGGTGGACCCGCGCGGCGTCGACCCGGCGGCTGCGGCGGCATCGGAGACTCTGGACGGCATCGAGGCGCTGGCCACCGCCATCGACACCGGTACGGTGGCTGGTAGAGTTCGGGGTTCTGGTTGAAATGAATGTTAACGACATTAGCTTGTGTATGAGGCGAACTTGTATACAGCTGTTCGTCTGCTACAACGGGATGGTATATGTATTATGTGGTCAGCTTGGAGCGCGCAAGGCAGACTACGTTATTGACTAAATTATGTACTTGGTTCTTGATTGGATCGTGAGGGAGAAGTGCATCAGTCACCGCAAATGTCTAACGTGTTCACGATAACTTTGTTACGCACCGTATTTAAGGTCGAAGTGCTGCTGCATGTGGTATGAACACTAGTGATTTAGCATAAGTTACATAGCCGTTGTGCTCTATCCCCAGTGCTGCTGCGGATCAAGGTGCGGTTCGTGGACACGGTGGTGCGTGTGGAGCACGTGGGTCAGGGACGCGGCCGAGGCGTCGGAGTGGAGCTCAGGATCGCCTGGTGAGTGACGCTGACACACTGAGGAAAACTTCTGGCTGATTAATGATTATGCTGTTTCAATTTCACGATGTGAACTCGCCGCCTTTCCATCCACCGCTCAGTAACCCCACGCTCGCCCATACTATCCCCCAGCATGGACTACATGGACGAGGCCGGCCGCGATCTGTCCTCCGAGCCGTCCGCGGGCCCGCTGGCTCCGGCCGCCCTCTCCGTGAAGCGCCTCTCGCTGGACGGCGTCTCTCTGCACAGTGTCGAGTTCCCGGCCGACCGGCGAGCCCAGCCCGGCAGCATGGCCGCATCGTTCTCCGAACACGCGGTCAGTCCATGGCGGAGTGTGTAGGGCGTGTTTGGGAGAAGGGTGGGATGTTTGAGGCAGCTTTTAGTGGATAGTTGAGGCGTGGTCTGCCAGATGTCTTGTTCAGTGGACAACAGCGGTGTTTATGTGACGCTGAATCTTTTTTTGTGTATCGGTGTTTCTTAGCCAAATGACTCACTTTGTGCGCTGCTCAAAAGAGCGGTGTGACATTCGTGAGTTCTTGAATAAGAGCGTGCGTTTCCGGTTTCTACCGTTGTTGCTGCCGCGGCTCACTCGGTTCATTTTCCATGACATTTGACCTCAAACTGCTAGTCTGTGACCATAGAGTCTCTGCATAATGATTTGTGAGACCTCGTAAGTTGATGTTGCTTCATGACGCCTGGCCCGTGACTACCCGTTTTCTCGCTCAGGAGGATGAGGAGGAGGACGGCTCGTGCGGCCCTCCGCAGGATGGTGCCGATCCCATCCTCCTGGGTCAGTTCAACGGGCGCACCGAGCTCCGCTGTGAGGTCAAGGTCGCCGACGCCGCGCCAGGACCCAAGGTCAGTGAAGATAAATGGTGAATGGTGAATGCTTGGGTGGAAGAAATCTTGCATCAATTCCTCTGCTCATTGCCTTTTAATGCCTGTTTCAAATTCGTTTATCTTTTCCTTTTGGCAGATGTATTGATTAAATGAGAGACAAAAGAAAGACAAATGAAGAAATGCTCGCTAATAATCATGAAACGTACTTACTACTCGCAAAAAGGTGACCCATGACCTCTGACCCATACGAGCGAGTACGTCACCCTCACTGACCCGCTGCTCTCCGACCCCCAGCTGAGTCTTCAGGTGTCTACCGGCGCGTTCTGCGTGATGCTCGGCCCCCGGCAGCTGCACGATCTGATCGAACTCTTCAGCGGCATCGTCGACCCGCAGCAGGTCGAGAAAAGGTCAGCAGTTGGCACTGGCTTGTAATTTGGTCGGGTCGTCGGTGGGTCGTTTAGCTGCATGGTTTTATTGTCGTTTAGTTGAATGGCTGTATTTGCGTTAAAAATCAAAGTTTTCTTCCGTGATTTTTCATCTTTGCGATTTAAACCCTTTGCCTCTCTGTCCTAGCCCTGATCCATCTCCCGTCTCTCCGTCCCTCTATCTCTCCGTCTCTTTGTCCCTCTACCATTCCGCCCCTCCGTCTATCCCGTCTGTCTAACCTCCATCCTCCGTGGTTCTGTCGACAGCACACCTCGGCCGGCCGGCGGCGGACGGCAGGGCGAGAAGCCGATGACGCCCTCCGACTATCAGGTGATCGAGGACCAGCTGCTGCGAAAGAACCTGGCCGCCCGAGAGATGCTCACTACGCAGGCACTGCGCACTCAGGGATGGTCGTCGAGTCACCTCGGTGAGACGGCGGGATTTAGACGGTGGGAGAGGGCCGCGGTAGGGCAGCAGCAGTATGGGAAAGAATGGAATGGGGGAGCTGGAATTTATAGATTGTGAGAGGCAATCGGCGCGTCTGGAAAAAAACACTTACCACGTTCACCATTGGCATTCCTTTAGGCTGTATTGTGTATGCTATTGTGTGCACTGGTTCGTACCATGCAGCCCTCTCTGGCATTTGCCGTCGGAGCACGGGAAATCTCCTGTCTGCCCTTTCGGTCTGTGCGATGTATGTTTTTGTGTGTACCGATCCACACCACACCCCTCTATCCGTCCGTCTGTCTACAGAAGACGAGGACGAGGAGTTTCTGCCGTTCCTGCGGCCGGCCGAGCCGCCCCTCAGCGCCAGTATTACCTCCATGGCCACATCGGCCGACTTGGACACGTCTATGACGTCCTCGGCGACCGGCAGCCTGCACTCGGACGGAGCCTCCGTGGCGCAGAGGTGAGCACTGGGCAAAGGCCCTCCGTGAGGTGTAGGTGGGGACGGGACAATCCCTGGCAGTCTACACTCGGACGGCGCCTCCGTGGCGCAGAGGTAGGCAACGGGCTTAGGCGACGCGTGGCGGGGCCCCGGATGGTAGTTTCTGTAGGGAAAGTTGGGCCCCGGACGGACTTGCACCGGACCCAGGGTTGTTGGTAGTTGACAGCGACAGCGGGTTAAGAATTCTGAAGGAAATGAGGCTTTGAGATTGTCATTAGACCGACGAGTCGGAAGTCACTTGACCAATGTGAATAGAAGATGATATCAATTGTTTAGTTTGTTCTGTGTTTTTGACGCATTTTGAGATCGTGTTGTGGTGGTTTGCAGGTCGGAGCTTTCATACACCCGGTCACGGCCGAGGAGACGGCGCGACAGGGGAAAAGGTGAGGCGAGAGTGGCTCTGTCAGTCCGAACGCCTGCGGAACGGAACGGGCTGAACGGTATCAGAGGGGAATTAGGGGTCATCAGGTCAGCTGGTGCTCACATTTTGAGAGCAGGCTGCTTTGTTTTACGATTTTCGTTCGTTTGTCATTTTAATTGACTCCTTTTGATTGTTCTGCGCATATTTTGACTTTGAGGTGCGATTTTCATCTGTTCTTGTGTACCTCAGTTACACCCTGTCTTGTCATTTCTGTCCATCCCAGCCCAGGGCTTAGTTCTGACTAACTCTGCATTACCTTCCCCCCACTCTCTCCTGATCTGCCCTGACTCTCTCCTGACCAGACCTCTGCTGTCTCCAGACGACGAGCAGGGTGAGGACTCTATCCGGCTGCGTCTGCAGCTGGGAACTGTCTGCGCTCTGTTGCTACACGAGGACGTCCTGGTGACGGCACCGGACAGCCAGATGCTAACGTCAGCCAGTCTCAGACAGGTGAGTGCGAGGGAAGGCTCAGCGGACAATACCGGACAGCCAGATGCTAACGTCGGTTAGTCTCAGACAGGCTAGTCACGGGACGTTTGGTAGTAAGGTAAGGGGGCTGATAGGCGACATCGAACATGCGCGGCCAGGTAAGAAGGGTGAAACCGAGCGGGCGAACCGGAGTGTTTTGTGCGAAGGTTTGTGAGGGTTCAGGAATATGTGTCTTATGTGTCACGCTTCATTGCTGGCAAGTGTAACTAAGAAATTGTCAATCCCCATTGATCGTGTATATTAACGAGGCATCTTTCGCTATTTCTCGTATTTTACTTTAGACTGCTAGGTAACATCCCAAATTTACACACAAGCACGTCATGACGCGTCCGTCCGTCCTCAGATGCAGCGTCTTGTCGAATCGGGTCTGGCGCGTCTCTCGTCTGTATGTGTGGCCGGCGATGGCGCCAGGGGCACCCGGGCCGCCCTGCTCGAGGCCTGTCCCCACAGCCATCTCAGGTGGGTACTGGTAATGAGGATGACAGGAGTTTTGTTGGTAATAGTTGAATGATGAGGGTTGATGCTTGAAAGATATTTAATTATTTGTGTATGGATTTGTTGTTTTTCAATTAAATGCCTTTCATTCAAACTTTTTGAGCATGCTTGCAGGACTGCATTACACTGTGGTAACCTTTTTTAATTGACATAGCTTCGAGCGTCTGACAGATATCGTGTCTCCCTTGTCTCAGTCTGGTGGCCGCTCCTACGAAGTTAGAGTGCAGCGAGCGGCCATCAGGGGGCAGCAGGAGCGTGTTTTCGCTGACGCTAACGGCCGGCGTTGCCGAGCTTCTGGAGTGTCTGGTGGAGAGGCGCACTTCAGTCAGCGCTCCATCCGCGCTCTACACAGAGGTGAGTGAACCGGCCGCTTTAATCGTCCTTACCACTGAATTGGGGAACCTAGTCAAGATGAGGGACCCGGGCATGGTCGCTGCCTTTGGCACGGAAGTAGGGGCCCGATGCTCGTTCCTGCTGCATTTTCAAACAGATGAACTGGGACTCGACCGCTCTCGTCACGCTATATGCGGAGGTGATGGACCTGAATCTTTCTCACCGCCATTCACACTGTCGGACCCATCTTTTCTGACAGTGGACCCTGCGAAAAGCAACTGCCTTTGGTTCGCTCCCCTCACCCTAACCTCTCTTTTTTCCGTCTTGCTGTCCACCAGTTGCTGACGTTCGAGACCGGCGAGCCGCCGCCGGGCGGTCGGTCGGACGAGGTACTGTCCGAGGGTGCCCTGACTCTGACGGTGCGTCACAGTCAGCCGCTGGTGAACCGACACTCCGCCAGCTCAGCCGTCAATGTCAGGTGGGTGTCAGTCGTACCGTGGAATGGGCATGGCTCATAGAGAGAGCCACACAATCAGGGAAGCTGGGGTTTAAAAAGCTGGTGGGCTGAGACATAAGGGTCCTTTTTAGATTAAATGGACGCGATTTTTTTCAACTTAATTGGTGTACTCTGTAACAGTCAGATTTGATGTGGATGCATTCTGTCATTAGTTCTACATCTCTGGTCAACTCAGTGCTTCCTTGGCAGGTTTCTAAGTCGCCCCAGTCCGACCCATCCCGATCTGTACCCAGTGTGACCTCGATCTGACCCCGATCTGACCCCGATCTGACCTGTCCTCCGTCAGGCTGAAGCTGGCTCCGTGCCGGACGGAGGTGGATATCTCACTGACGGACCGACTGGCGACCCTGCTCAACCCCGCGCCCCGAGACCCCGCCCACCGCGTGACCACGCCCTCCAGTGTCGAGCACGCCGATGTGGTGAGTCCGAGACCCCGCCCACTGCGTCAATACGAGCTTTATTCATTACGCGTGCCGCTAGATGGCTTCTTTCTGACAAAAATGAATGAACCGAATATAAATTTTACTGTCTGAGTATGCGCAACAAATCTGATATAAACATGATTTGTATTGTAGAGATATAGCATTTACGACCTGCCGGATATTTCCCTGAGTAATCTTCATGTCTACCTGCTCATGGCAGCATCGCTAGTCCCCCACAATCTAACCACTCCCGCTCCCTCTCTCCGTCGCCTCTGTCAGACGAAGCAGCAGTGTTTTAACGCGGCGATGGACGACCGAGCGGGCGGCGGCGAGTCGCGGGTCGACGTGCACGTCTCGGCGCCGCTGGTGGACGTCCAGCTCAGGTGAGGCACGTCAGGGCGGTAAGACATGTGAAGAAGAACCGTATCCCATGGTCGCAGCAACGTTGGTCTCTAAACGTGTCTCTTCTTTGCGGTGCGATGTTAGTGATATGTATGAAATGTTGCCCAGGCTGTGGTTGTTCTGTGCTGTGCCCTAGTTTCTTCACCGTCTTGGTCTATATAATCTCCCACGAGGTTTTTTGGGCACACTACCAGCAGATGCTGCTGATCCCTCCCTTTCACATTCCACTCTCCTAAGGATCTGCCCGACCCGATCTGTCAACTGATCCACCCTCTCCCCCTGGCCTTTCAGGATCCCGATACCGGACCTGCGGCCTCTCAGCGACATGGACCGGCCGTCCTGGTGGCAGCGGCACGTGCGGCCCGACTCGTTCCACATCCGACTGCGCGACGCGTCAGTACGCTCCACGCTGCACTCTCGGGACGACAGCACGCGGCTGGAGCTGCAGGCGCGGCACGCCGCTGTCGGGTACCAGGAGACCGAGGCGGCAACGCCCGTCGTGTTCATCAATGTGAGTGGCACCCTGCTTTAACTTTCTATGGTCTGACTATTTTCTGATGTGATGTTATGGGCGCCGATGACCGCCGCAGTACGGACACCCTAAACCCCCGAATCATCATCAGGCAGCGCTGTGTAAAATATGGGCTTGGGAGGTAATGTGCAGTGCAAACCGACTAAGGCGTTATTATACATATAGGTCGTTCATAGACAATGATTTTCATGGTGTATTTTCACTTGTTGTCTCAGTAATTGGAGGACATGCTGAGTTAAAGCTAAAAATTTATGTTGCCTCGTTCAAGGCTCAAAGGTTTTTTTTTCAATGGGTTTATCCTAAAAGAGACACTTGCAGATGACTTGTCTCTGGCTCTCTGCCGCCTGCTGACGGTCCCCGTTGCGCTGCCCCGTCCAGGTATCGGCCTCCGGCGGCGACTCGCTGTCGGCCGGCGGCGCGGTGGGCCTGGACTGGCCGCGGGCGGTGCTCTCGCTATACCCGACCCGCTCCACGCCGCTGCTGGAGGCCGACCAGCCGGACGGCGGCTGCGACTCCTCGCCGGCCGCCGACTCATCCTCGTCATCACCGTTCGCCGGTCTGAGAGCAGCGGCGGCCGACCGCGAGCCGAGTCCGTTCGGCCGCCGCCGCGTGGTGTATGAGACCGACGCGCACTGGCGCGGCGAGCCGGACACCGCCTCAGGTGGGTAGAGGTAGACAGGGAGTCAACAGATGAGCAAATGAGGATAGTTCATCGGAAGAAAACTTGTGTGTCAACTAAAAGTTGACATCAAATAAAACCGTTGCATTTGAAATAAGTTTTTCGTTTAAGATGGTGTCTACCGCAGCCTTTGGCGCCGGTCTAGAGGATATATATGCTTCCGTGGAGCTGTACTGTTGTGTGCTTTTTGTTACCTCTCCCTCCCCCTCTCTCCTTCTGCAGAGGGTGAGGAGCTGGTGATCCCCGGCTCGCGGGAGGAGGTGGACGCCTTCGTCGAGGACACCGTCTCCAACTGCCAGACCCTGCTGGAGCTCAGTCTGCCTGTGATGGAGGCAATACTGCCCAATAAACGGTTCTATGAGCTCATCTACAACAGGTGTGCACTTACTTTGCGCTGAAGGATGTGGGGAGGACGTGATCCTGGCGTTCCCACTGACTTCTCACGTTGGGTGTGGGGCGAGAAGTCTGCCGCCGTGGTACCTAACTAACTTTGGAATATTGCAATGACAAGACGTTCTTAGCCATTTTGCAGAACCCACCTGTACGCATCATTGTTTCACAGAATCCTTGTCAGCCATTAGCCGGTCACTAATCGGCGTGACGAACCTCTCCTTTCCCTCCCCAGACTGGCCACAGATTTAGCTGTCTGGGAGCTTGCGGCACCCACCGTCTCCCCTCCGTCCTCCTGACGTACCCCTGACGTACCCCCACTGATTCCCCCAGGCTGGTGACGGACCCGGCGCTCTGGGAGCCGGCGGCACCCACCGTCTCTGACGCAACGGCCCCCGTCCTCTGTCCTCACTGACAACCCTGTCTGCTTCCCTCAGACTGGCGACGGACCTCAGGCGCTGTGGGAGCCGGCAGTGGTTACCGTACCCCTCCGTCCCTCTCTGACGTACCCCCTATCTGCCCTCACTCAGACTGGCGACGGACCTGGCGCTGTGGGAGCCGGCGGCGCCCACCGTCTCCAGCCCGGAGGCGGCGCACCGGCCGGCCGACCCGCTCATGCTGCTCACAGACGGATACCAGATGTGCAAATCGGCCACTAATTACGGTGAGGACTGGTCCATGCTTCAAAGTTCAACTTCACGGCCAACTGCTGTCGTGCAAAGGCAAATACGCATATCTAACATTTTTTCTGTCAGCACAAAGTTTTACACAGGAGCGAGTTTTGTGTTTTTCGGTCATTGTGGTCTTCCATTTGACCAGAAGCGCAGCAATGTATATATCATTCGAAACAGAATAACGCGCTCTACCTATGTACATACATGCGTATCATCGTCCAAAAGTAATAAATATTCATATAATTACATAAAGGTTTTTCTGCCATTGCAATATTTTCTTTGTTGGGGTGACCCACGCCAACAACAAACGCGTACCGTCAGGGGGGTGACACCTAATGGAACGCCATTGGTCACGGTTTTGCTTGCTGAAGAAGCTCCGATGACGTACTTGGCGGCGTCCGATGGCGGCCAATCAGAGCGCAGGAATTTGCTAACAAAAACCAGACTCTGCTGCTTGTGAACATTAAGCAAAGACAGTATTGGCGCCTTGGGCTCATTTATTTTCAGGTGACAAACAAGTCGTAACCGTCGTTACCATGGTTACCGTGGCCCTTGCTATGGCCACTCATATAGGGCTGACACAACCAGTTGATTTTAGAGGTTTATTTGTGAGTTGATATCATTTTAAGTGGTTACTTGGTTGTGAAGTGGTTGAACTTTGGACTAATTCATAAATAAAATCTACTAATATGTAAACAAAGAGGTTGCATTGCCCAATATCAATATCAACATTTTGAAGAATCTTGGCAATGCCCAATCACACTGTCGGACTCTGTTCTGGAAGCCGGAGGCATCGATGTGAAGGTGAGTAACCTCAATATTTAGTATGGGAAAGTTGTTTTTTTATGTCTTGGTAAATGTAAGCGTTTGCGGTGTTTTTTTTATTAATATAAATGCTGAGCGAGCAGTAGTATGGAATAGGTATATTATTTATGATACTTGTCAATTTGTAGTATTTAAAATGCTATTTTCAATTTATAGAAATTTTAGGACTTGAAATTAGAAATACAAATCATTTATGAGAATTATCAAAAACGTTACGGGATTTTCCTGGTCCTCGTATTTTCCCTTTGGAATTATAAACTTTTTGTATTTCTTTAGAATCATGTTTTGTGAATCGTAATTGGTTTGCATTCCATGGTGATTGTGTTTATTTTTCATTGCCATGCCATTGCTCTAGCTTGTCTACAATAGCTCAGTTAATTTTAAAAGAAACGGACATTGCAAACCATGGCAACATCATTTGACTTGCGCAGCTCGTTGCCAAGTTCCTATGCCCAATGGTATCGCTCAGTGTCAATTAGCTTAAATTTACTAACGCAGCTGGTGTTACTTTTCCAGCTCGACGAGCCCTTCGTGGCTGGACCGATCACAGATGAGCTGGCGGAACTGGAGGAGGATCTCCAGCGCGTGGCTAGTGCAGAGGTCCGCGGTGCCGCCCACTCAGAGTCCAGCAGCCTCGAAGCCGACATATCCTACCAGACGATGGCTTTCGCTGCGGGCTTCGTGGCTCAAAAATGCCGCCATTTGGACCGCAGACTCTGTGTTAGGATGGACGATGCATCTGCAGAGGCCCTATACTTCGTTCCACATCAAGCTCGTGGTCGGAGTGTCTTCGGCAGCTACTCCTAAGCTCAATAATTTGCGTATTTGAATGTTACTAGCTGTATGTACAGAAATCTGCTTTCAGATGCATCTGCTTATATTATTCTGCTTTCAGCGGGGCACTTCGGCCGAAGGCTTGACATGGAAAAGAGCAATAGCATCTGTCCCGGACCCAAGAGGATGGCTTCAAGTGGTGAGCCGGGGCCAGCTGTATGTGCCGTCCGTCTGGTGGATGTCCGTCGTGCAGAACTTTGAGATAAACTTCTCCCAGATCACGGTGTTCTCCGCTGACCGGGAGCCGGGAATCGTCTGGCGGAACCATGTTTGAATAAAGTCACAAGTGATAACTAACAGTCTTGTCCGATGTTAGCATTGTCCATCCGATAAGATGCTCGTTCTTTGTGCACGCGGTGAAGGTCCAGCCCCACTTCAGCGTGTGTGGCTGTTACAGCGGCTTAGGAGGGAGCACGGGAAAGCGAGTGTGTGCCGCCACAGCGGCGCTGTAGGAGGGAGTCTGGCGCTGCGCGCATCTGTCGACGAAGTGGCCACAGCCCAGTAAACATGACGACGTCGGCCCGACGTCGGGCCGAGGCTCGGCCCGACGTCGGCCCAACGTCGGTTCAACCTTGGCCCGACATCGGCTGGACGTCGGATATGCCCGCATGTTCCGACGTCCAGACGAAGTCCAGCCGACGTCGGGGCGAGATCGTTTGCCGAGGTTGACGAGATCGTTTGTCGTTGGACCGACGGGGCCGACGTCGGCATGTTTATTGGGACAACGCGCCAAAAATATCAACCGGCGGCGGGATTCGAGCCCCCCAGTCGCCGACGTCGGCATGTTTACTGGGACAACACGCCAAAAGCATCTGCCGGCGATGGGATTCGAACCCCCTGTCATTCGAACGCGGGGTAAGTGCGCTAATCACTACACCACGCATCCAGCTAACGAATGTGGTTTGTTTTGTTGGGTTATGCCCTTTCGGTCTGACAAGTCCATTTCAGAGCCGGAAGGATGATAGGATGGAGACATTGGTCTTCTTGGCGAGCACCCTGGGTCCAGTTCATATAGAGTCCCTGGTCCCATTGCTGTTACGTGGCACTTATTGGAAAGGGCGACCCCACAATGGATTCATATAGCCACTCTTACACACCTGCACCAACGTTTCCCAAAGTGTCCCTTTGATAAGTGGCACTTTGGCAAAGTGACACTTGCCGACTGGCCTTTCTATATGAACTGGGAACTGGGCCCCGGCCCTGGTGAGTTGCCGGGGCTGAGCCTGACCAAAGGATAGGCCGAGCAGCCCCAAAGCACTCACCGCACCTGGCTACGGGCGAGCTCGGCTTACGGGCAATCCCAAATGGGATAAAGTTTCCCGTCCAGTCCGGATCAGGGGGTTGCGGCGTGGAGGAAGATTTGAGTTTCCTGAGGATATTTTGGATACAGAAGCTCTTTATGAAACATTAAACATGTATTTTATATTATTTTAACGGTCAAAACAGCGGCCGATGTCGGTCCGACGTCGCCCCGACGTCGGCCCGACGTCGGCTGGACCTCAGCAATTGATCTCGGTCCGACGTCGGCCCGACGTCGGCTGGACCTCGGCTGGACGTCGGAACATGCGGGCATATCCGACATCCAGCCGACGTCGTGCCGAGGTTGGACCGACGTCGGGCCGACGTCGGCATGCCGATGCCGAGTTGCCGACGTCACCCCGACGTCGGGCCGACGTCGGCATGTTTACTGGGAGGTGACGACGACGATTGTTAATATATTTCTTTTAACATGGGAGTTTAAACTGAAATAGCAGTTTTACAGCTTGGATGCGTACATAGCCGACGAGCTCTTAATCTTCCATGTGCCGGCGCCTGTCGATGTTGACAGGAGTAGTCGATGTTGACAGCCCGACAGGATCGTATTTAGTATGTATATGCGTGAATAAGAGCCGTCGTGGCATATCAGAAGGTAAGGCTGCTTTCATATTACCTTGTGATGCATTTAAATGCATCTCATTTTAAGACAAACTTTACCATTACGAGGTTTGAAACAGTCGGTTTTAGTACGTCGCCGGACGGGGCCGCCGAGTGGCTCGCCGCCAGTGACGTCACCCGCCGGCCGGCGGAATTCAAGGTCAAACGCGTGTTGTCGAGCTACCTGTAGTTTCTATGGCCTTGCGCGTACCTTGGCGCGTACCCTATCTGGGCATTAATCCGCACAACGGTAGATATGCGTATTTGCCACTCGACACAAGGCGGTAGCACTATAGGCAAATGCGCGTATTGGGAGATATGCGCACGTGCCATTGGACACAGACGCCACCAGCTAGCTGGAAAAGAGACGTATAGTAAGATATGCATAATTGCCACAATCGTCCTATCCAACTAGACAACTAACATATTGGGTGATACGTTTGTTATTTCGTGCATACAAAGCTTACTCGTATGCCCGTAAATACATACATATGCACACGTAACTGACCACACGCTGTGATCAATTACGGGAGATGCAGATTCACATAGCTGCAAGACGTTTGTGCGGTGGTATTGGGTGGTATGCCTAATGTTGTGACGCTGTCGTGGATCCTCACCCAAGTGCCTGGTTCCGTAAAAAGGTTGCCGGCCTTGAAACCCTCGCACTTGTAGGGCGGGGGAGAGGTCGTATGGACCCCTTGGTTTTTCGAGAATTACTCACGCAAAAAGCGGCCGATCGCAAGAAAACTTTACTTGCCCTTGAGTTTAGAAATTTTACACCTACTCGGAAACAATTTGATGACCTTGACCCAAATGACCTTTGAGCTGTGACTTATTTCTCGAGACCGTGTTTGGCCGAAATCGCGATTCGGCGTATATCAACTCACATTGTCCGCGCGTTTCCAGTCTTAATGTAATTGTAAACGTTTGATTATGTGAAATGCTATCGGTTCCACACATTATGGTGGATGTCAACTGTCAAGGTCACGTAACGTCAGACCGTGGTCATTGACGTTTTATGACCTTGGCTCACTGTTTCGAGTTTCATTTGTTTCCAGGGTGGTTTTCGAGCTGAATTCGAATTGAGCATCCATTTGAACGTTTTAGAAGTAGTTTTGGACTATAAGTGTCTTCGTTACTTGTTACCACGACGCCGGTACTGGCTGACTCCTCGGAGAGCCGGCAGGACACCTTCTAATTGAGCTGACCAGACTGGACCCGACCTGGCCTGAATGCATGAGGACATCATCTGTGAATTAACCCACGAGCCGCTGGGGGGGGGCATAAAGTTGCCCCCCCTTTACGTTTTGTGGAATATCTCCGAAACCTGATGAGCTACGAACGTGAAACTTGGCATAGCTTCAAATGAATACCTAGGCAATGTTTGAAGAAAGTTTGGTGGTTGTAGCATCTACGATGACGTCACAGTGACGTCATAAAGTTTTGTCGTTTTCCGATATGGACCGTTTCTGATGACGCTGAGCATGAAACTCAACTGCAAATGAACTAGACAGCACCTGCTGTCATCCTAAAACGTCTAAGTACACTTCCATCTAGTTCCTAACCAATAATCGGCCCTTTATATTCGGTCCCATATACCTGATGTATCGTGAGGAAACTGAGAGTCGCGAATCTATAATTTGACTTATGACGTCACTGTGACGTCATTTCAAATGGGATCGACACGAAATTTGGACACAACCTCGGCTAGGTATTCAGAAAGATGTGTGCAAAGTTTCGCTTCTCTATCTCTTCGCGTTGCGACGATATCGCCGCGGAAGTAAAGGGGGGGCAACTATATGCCCCCCCCCCAGCGGCCGGCGGGTGGCGCGGAGGCCCAGCGGCCGCCGGGTTAACTGCTACGGAACTCGTGATAAGCACCCGAAGCACTACAGCTTTATTTTGTGAAGTTCTAGCAGTACCCAATTTTCCCGACTTTGGGGTCATTGACCTGACCTGAAAAGTCAACCAATGACCTTGACCTTGAAGTTTTGTGTGTTGCCCGCTTATTGTGTCAGAAGCCCTACACATCTAAGCAACGTTGGTGGGTGCATAGGCCATTGTCATTATCCTATAGGTGTTGACATTCAAACATTGCAATGGCATTATAGAGAACGTAGCATTAACTATGGATTATGAACTATATGAGTGTTCGGCGCTCCTTTGCAGTTCCACCAAGCTCGACAGAGTTTTTATGTGCGCGAAATGGCTATATTTTCTCCGCGACAAACACTAATTGGAGTGAAGTACAAAACAACACACCAGTAACAGAACACTGGTTGTCGAACACATCACACAATGCCACTGATGAGCATAATCCGTCTGCGGCCTACCACTGGGCACAGACGCTGCCCATCGCGACGGCGACGGATAGCAGCCGGCGGTGGCCGTCTGCCGGTGCAGTGCTACCCTGGTACGGCTGTGCACGTGCAGCGTCGTAAAGGTGGCAAGGAGCCGGGACAGAACGATTCCGACCGGCAGCGGCCTATAACGGCGACTCCGGGCCGCTACAGGCTAGCACACGTCACATACAAGGAGCTCGCGTCGACCTCAGGCGAGATCACCCGATTCTTCTTTGGCCTCTCGCTGGAGGTTTCTCCAGAAGACGCACTTGTGAGGAGCCATCAGGGGCATCATTGCTTCGCACAGCCGGTCAATCTTCGACTGGTTCACGCATCGAGGTACAGCCTTGAAGACCACCACTTTTGGGTCAAAAGAATCTCTGGCCATGTCATACACAGTCCATGACTCTTGGCAGAAGTCTGTTTTCGTCCAAAGGCTTCCCTGTCCCCGGCGAACCTGCACGGTTTTGAACTTTCGCGGGTAGGGGCGCTGGCCGGTGCTCTGGAGACTTCTCAGTTTGGCCTGACTGAAGGCATCTTCGGTTTCGATCAGCCCTTCGGGCCTTAGCGTGACAGTCTTAACGCCGGAGCAGCTCTCCACCAGGTCCACATAGTCTGAGAAGTCTTCCACTTTTTTAGCGGACTTCAGCCTCTTGGTGATGGTTTGGTGAATGGAGTCGGCGCTCATACTCGTGTGGCCGCGCGTCAGGTACTTGATAGTGATCGTCTCGGCGGCCAAGGTGTCGCAGTTCACTGCACTCAAGAGGAAGCCAAAAAATGTCCAGCACTTGTTCTGCGAGCTGCAGTTGTCTATGAACATCGTGATTTTTGTCAGATCCCTGTTGGAGACAAAAAAAAAGCCCAGTAAGCGGAGATGACGTCAGCCGCTTCTCGTCCTGCCACCCCTTCGTGCCACAGCACGGCCAGGGAGTGGTGATCTCTGTGCCTGCTTTTTTCCTTCGGTTGCAATGGGCTGAACGTTTCATTGAAGGCTACGACTCGGCGGGTAAAGAAGCAGGTCTTGTGCGGCAGCTGTGGAAGTTAGTTGCCTCGCATCATGTCGGCACTTGCGACCATTTCCCCATCGTCCCATGGCTGCTCTGCTTCACGTCGATATTCTTCTCTTGCTTTTTGAACCTCATCCATGTGCACCTTAGTCACACAGATTTCGCATGCGTCTTCGAGGCACTGCTCTGGTGTCTCGGCCTTGTGTGTCTCATGCATGTTTCGCACAAGATTGCTTTACTACTCGTTTCGCACTCCTCACCACCAAGTTTAGTGAACCCGATCTTAGGAGTATATAGGGCCTTGTCTTAGGCAAGATTCTTACAGATACAGATGTCTTCGATGTCTTAGGTAAAGGATCTTAGCTGGAGCCTGGATCTTAGGTGCGTAGGCCCAAGATACCTAGCGTAGGCCAAGGCGTAGGTAAACATCGAAAAAAGAATCACGTGTTTCACTACGACACCTCCGCTTAGGAGAAGCGGTCAAAAACGCATATCTGCAAAGCTCGTCGAATGAACATAATTGTGAATCGTTCCACCACGACAAAAACGCACATCCAGTTCCACGTTGCTCGTTCACCGTTTACCCACTACCAAGCCAAAAACGCGTATCTACACAGATATGCGTTTTTGTCTTGGAAAATGGAATGCAAAGACACCAGTATAGCGCCTTATGGGGCGACTAACGGAGCGAGCGAGAGGGTGGGCCTTGCACGTGCGAAATTGCGAGGGGGTACCTCCAACTGACTTGTGCACGGCACCCTACTAACCGGTCTCTAGCGATGTGCCGAATTTGAGCACAATCGGCCCAGCCGTTCTCGAGATCTGGAAGCGGCACCCTGCACGTGCGCACGTGCAAAATGGGTCCCAACTCCCAACTGACTTGTGCACGGCACCCTACTAACTGCTCCGTAACCGTGTACCAAATTTGAGCGCAATCGGTCCAGCCGTTCTCGAGATCTGGAATCGACCCCTGCACGTGCGCACGTGCAGCAGCACCCCAACCCTGGCACATGGATATGCATTGCCTAGTGGGTGCCTACCTACATGCCAACTTTCAGCGCAATCGGCCAAGTAGTTACCGAGATATTGCAACAATTACAAAAGTGACACCTCTTCGTTTTGCACGTGGCACGTGCATAAGGGGTCACCTACATGCATCGGGAATAGTCCAATACTTGGTAGAAGGAATGAAGCTACCCTACAAAAATTACCGCGTGTAAATCGGTCAAGTGGTTGCTGAGATATAAGCGTCGCAAAAGCGTGACCACGGCCGGCCGCTCATACTCAGAAATTTCCGTTAATCTAAGGAAAGACTACGCTCGCTTCGCTCGCTCCGTAATTATTGCACACGGAGACCAACAATACGCATATCTGCAACAGATATGCGTTTTTTGTTTTGTTTTGGAAGGATGATTATTTAATCCAGATGATTACCAGCAGGACCGGTCTTAGGAAATCTGATCACATCTCTCGAGCGCGAAATCAGTTGTGTTTTATGGTGCCGCGGCAAATGCATGATTTGTATACCTTGACTGCAGCTCACAAGATACTTGTCAGTGGAGAGCCGTCCGAACTGGCCTCACTCTTCCAGTGCTTTTCCGACGCGCGCAATTGTGACCGGCCAACTAGACAGGACGGGTGTCTTCGGCCGCCGGCTTTCCGAACCGTGACCGGACAGCGATCTTTTAGTTACCGAGCTGTGACGCTTCTCAACCGCCTACCAATCGAGACCCGAGCTCTGGGCCCGTCTGCTTTTAAGCGCGCTGCCAAGTCGCTGGTACTGCAGTAGCTTTTACGACCGTGTGTGCTGCATGAGCGGTGTGTGCGTGTATGTATGCTGTGTACATGTTGCGTGACATCCCTCCCACCTCATTGACACTTTGTTTTATCTATCTTACTTAAGGCACAGAATAGCCACAACCATGTGTGGAGTGTCTGTTGATGTAATACATACATACATACATACAGGAGCAGATATGTACAAGTTATGTGTTTTTGCCTCTGTGGATGCCTGCCTAATTGTGTTGTGTGTGCTTTTTCCAAACTTATATATGAAATATTTAGTTATTAAACTTAAATATTGATATGAACATGTGTAGCTCATCGAGAAGAATCGAATGGTATAAAAAATTGTCAAAATTGTTAGTTATGCGTTTTTGCCTTTGCACGGCAGGGAGTTGTGAAACATTCGAGCTTTGTTTGTTTGACTTGAACATTGTTGAACTTGTATGCATGCACAGGAACATGTAGACATGGGATGGGATTTCATGTCGTCCTCGCCCCCTCCCTCCATCCGGCTCTGGTTCTCTCGTTTGCCCTTTTCGGTTGGTGGATTCTGGCTCATCCATACTGTTAGGTAGGCCGCGAATCTGACCCTTTCCCTGTCTTCCTGCCCGCCTTACCGAACCTGACTCCCGTTTTCGGCTCACCCGACTGACTCCGTCCCCCGCTCGGCAGACTCCGACTCTGACGGTGACGCCGAGGCCAGTGTGTACGAGTCAGTGTATAGCCAGCGGCGGCGACAGCGGCGCCGGCAGAGACACCAGGATGAGGCTGTGCGCAGCCGACAGAGCCGGTTCTGTCTGCGGCTGCAGCTCGGACAGGGCATCGCGGCCCTTCAGACGCCCTGTCTGGTGAGCAGGGATGCAGAGCGGCAAGGGTGGATCAGTCGAATGTTTCAAGGGATGAGTAAACGGAGGAGATGTTTGCTTTTGTTACGCGTTGGCTATTTATTTCTGTATCTCCTTTATGAAGTTGTTTTGGAATTTACATGTGCACTTAGTGATTACGAGATAACTTATTTAACGCGAGGACTTCAATATCCACCGCCTCAGTGGGCATCTAGAAAGATGATCCAGTTGATTCAAGTCGCTACAACTACCGAGTAAGTGAAGCAGAGCTGGCCTGATGAGTGATGACTTGACCTGACCATACCTCTCCACAGACCGAGGACATCCCCGTGCCCGGTCACCACACAGTTGACCTTACCTGACCTGACCTGACCTCTCCCCAGACCGAGGAGGACACTCCGGTGCCCGGCCACCACGGCGAGGTTTAGCTGACCTGACCTGACCTGACCTCTCCCCAGACCGAGGAGGACACCCCCGTTCCCGGCCACCACGGCGAGGTGCAGCTGGCGGTCGACTCTGGTTCCCTGTTCGTGGCCTCTGGCTACGGCGGGCTGTACGGGCACGGCTTCATCTGCCTGTCGGCGCACCGGGCCAGCCTCTACCATAAAGGTGGGTGTTTAAATGCTCCGGAGCAACTTCTACCACAAGATCTGCTAATGGCAAACCTAAGGTGGATGGCATGTGTCTCAGACTTGGCCTTTCGAAAATGAGCTGACCGGATAACCCCTATCTCAGATGTCATCTCCGCCCTCTCCACTCCTGACCCGACCCGTTCACCCCAGGTCAGATGCCTACCCGCTCGTCACCGCTGCTGCCCAGTCTGGACGCCATACCGGCCTGTCTGGACCGACTGGTGTCCCCCTATGAGCGGGACCCGACCGGTGCCGGCGTCGGACAGCGCTCCACCGCGGATATGCTGTCCGTGACGGTGCAGTACCAGCTGGACGAGACCAATAACATAAAGGTGAGGAGCTGTGGATTGGACGAGCTGGGTAGAGGAGTAAGCATAGGTAGAGTTTTATGCCGAGCTAGGGGTGCCCGAACTCTCCCAATTCCACGCCAGCTTGGTTTTGGAGCCTCAACAAACGGCGGATGCTAGGACGGAGGCGGCGGATTTTTTTTTTGTGCCCGGGCACCCCCCCCCCCCCATCCCCCAGTCCGACACGAAGTTCCATCTATGGGAGTCAGGAAAAAATATGTGCGATATGCGCCGTGTTGTATTGCGCATAATAAGACAAACCTGAAAGGCTTTTTATCGAGGACCGGCTTTTGTATTTTGTAATTGTATTTAACTCTTATCGTGGACGCCGCTCTGTTTGATTCTCTTCTGATCGAGTTCTGTTCTGCTTAGTGTACGACGTTGATCACCCCGTCCCCCTTTTCACAGACGTTCACGGTGGCGGTGGGGCTGGACGGCTGCGCGCTCCGGCCGCGGATGCTGCCCTCGCGTCAGCTGTTTGTCGCCCAGCTGATGGACATGTTTGACGTGGTCGACTTCCCCGTGGCTGGGTACGAGATGCCTGGGACGGTCACCCAGCTGCACCTCAGAGTAGCCGACTCGGCGCTCGACTTCAGGTCAGTTAGACCGCCGATTCTGGTGGCTGATTATGAGCGATGGTACCTGGGTGACGAACATTGATAGTTTGCAATTGTTTGTCTGGCTGTGTTTCTGTAACATAAAATACTCGTGTTTCGTGTTTATGTAGCTGTATGAGATCACGTGTTACGTTGCAATTTGTATTTAAGAGCTCGTCCCAGACGTTTGATTCTAACGTATCTGTCTCCCTCCGATTCCGCAGACCGCTGAGCCTGCCGTACCAGTACCTGTTGTCGGTGGACAGTTTCACACTCTCCTCCCACCTGGCGGCTGCTACCGGCACCACCGTCCTGCGCTTCATCCTGGAGGACGCCGCGCTGCACGTGGCCGACCGCAGCGGCGGCGCGCTGGCCGACATCCTGGCCCAGTACGTCTGTGTCGTCGAGGCCGGTCTGCTCGAGCTCTCCGTCCGGAAGAGCGACGCGCCCGTCGGCGGTCAGCCACTGTTTGATTTTCGCTGCAGCAATAACTCGGTGCAGGTTCGCACGTGTGCGGACTCGCTGCGCGCTCTGGTTCAGTTGGTGACCTACCTGGCAGCTGGGGAGGGTGATCAGTCGGAGCCGGCGCCGCCGCCGCCCCCGCCGCCGCCAACGCCGCGCGTGCAGCCCCGCCAGGCGGCCGGAGAGGGGGCCGGTCTGGCGGACCTGATGGAGGACGCCATGCAGGAGGCCAGCCCGCCGAGACCCGGTTAGTAGGGGACGGAGGGGGCAGACGTGGGGTAATAGATTCAGCGTGTGGGCCGAACAGTTAGGGAGTAGGGGACGGGTATTGACACTATCTTTGTCGGCAGCTTCGGGGCTTAACGATTGTTGGTGTGATGATTGTTTTCAGGTTATTTTACAATGACAAAAGTAGCTTTGCACTTATGACAGCGAAGATGTTGCTATTCTGTTGCAGATTCAAGTATCCTAGTTGGAAAAGTGGGTCTGAGTGTTAACGGCCAACGCTCGCCTTTATCACATCGCGATTCGAGGCATAGGTGTTTTCAACCTAACCTTGGCTGTTTCTTTTTTCAGCGACGGCGCCGGCCAGTCAGGGCCCCGTGGAGGTTTTCTTCTTCCCTAACGAGCCCCACGTGTCTCCGGGCTCCCCGCCGCCGCCACCGCCCCAGCCGGCCACTGATGAGCCTCCGAGCACGGTAAGACGACCAACACTTTCCGTGTGGTGGTCACGCGAGGCGCGTGTCCGTGCGGGGCCACGTGTTATGTCGAAAAAATGCACCAGAAATACCGGCTGCTGTTTTTTTCATTTTAGTGTATAAAATTATAGGCCCTAGTGTCCGTATTTTCTGACTTGCCAATAAGTCGTCGGTTATTATCTGACCTCATATTAAGGTCTCTGCGTTGGCGATTACGATGTACTGCCACTAGTAATGGTTTTTTGTTCTACCATTTCCGTGCTATCGTCTCACGAACGTCTCTCCGGTCAGGTGATGGCGACGATGGCCGAGGCGCTGGCCGACATTGAGGACGAGTTCGATGACGTCGACGAGAGCTTCTGTCTGCTGGATGACGACCCCGGCTCAGGAATCAGGGTGAGTCAACCGGGAAGGGCGATCTCGGGCTATCACATTAAAATTGGGGATGGACGGATTTGAGGCGGCTCTTGAGCTTGACATATTATGTGGTGATTTTAATTGCAGTTACTTTTTAGTTCTCATAAACAAAATGAACGAATAGCATTTATGGAGACCGGGCTCCTCTAGAACTCTAGCATCTGCCTCATCAGCAACGGAGTTTGCGAGTCGAGTAATGAAAGGGCACAACATCCTAGTCGCGAATAGATGTGGATATGATAACAGGACGTATGTTTACGGTCAGCCAGCTGGCATATAGTAGTTGGTCTCATGTTGTCGACGCTGCTGACTCCACTATCCCTCCCCCTCCCTTCAGTCTCGCTCAGGGGAACCCCAAGTGCGTGTGCTCACCACCGAGCCGATCCGCATAGTGGACAACTTTCTGCCGACCCCGCTGAGTCGTGCGGACGTGCTCCGTGCCCCGGCGCACCTGGCCGCTCCCCTGCGCCGCTGCACCCTGCAGCAGATGTCGGTCAGCTGGAGTCTGTACGGCGGACACGACCTGGCCAGCACCACGGCCGCCAGACAGGCTAGGAAGGTACAGGACGCCTGATGAAAGGGAATGGTCTGTGGGGAATATTTGGCCAGAAATATCTGGGCGCAATATGAGTGACCTATGCAGTCATCACGCGCCCTAAAGCCCCAATAAACAGACAATGGCCAGACATGTCGCTATTGGAATATCTAATATTCCCGTCATTGATGTGACTTATCTTTAATATGCTCACATTACTGATGCTTTCCACTTAACTGATGGCCATCCTGTCATATCGTGCACCATAACACGATTCTTTGTGACGAATTTAATGAATCACGACAGCACCATTATTATCGTGCCTCCAGGTTCGGATCGAGTCGCCATCGGCCACCCCTCCGGGCAGTCCACGGGCCCGCATCGGTCAGCGCTCGGCCGGCTCGCCTATCGAGGTGGCCTTCAGCAAACACGGCGCGCAGCAGGTGCGAGATATGGGGCAGGCGGGTCAGACGGATGGTCAGATGGTTAGACAGGGTCAGACGGACGGTCAGATGGTCAGACGGGCGGTCAGGTGGTTGGACAGGGTCAGACTCAGACGGACAGTGAGATGGTTAGACAGGGTCAGATGGATGGTCAGATGGTTAGACAGGGCCAGACGGAAGGTCAGATGGTTGGACAAGGGCAGACGGACGGTCAGATAGATATGTGGCCTGTCTGTCATGCCGCCCATTTGGTGGTGGCTGGAATGGTCAAATTCAAAATTAGATCAATAAACCTGTTAAGCTGAGAGAATTAAAGATAAAGCTGGAAAATTGTCTCCTGCTGGCAAACGATGACGTTTGTGACTTTTCGTTTAACGTATCTGATTCATTGGATTATTTTCGGGTCTGTTTGCCTGCGACTGTCAACAAGGTTTCCGCTAGTGCTTGCCATGACGTGTTGGTGGCTAGTGTCTGCCTGTGTTCATCTTTCATGGTGTCGGGATAGGCCGTGTGACTATCGAGGGAATTCACTAACAGCATATAAGTGACCTTAGAGGCGTTGGTTAAGAACACGTAGAGTTAGGGTATGGTATTTTGTAATTCGTGTATCACTAAACACTCGAAGGATAATTGGAACCAGGCAAAATTACTAACTTCCTGAATGCATTGCGAAGTGATTTACCTTTCAAACTGGATTCATAATTATTAACAGTGGTTTGCCGGTTTCTGAATGCAAATGCTCGTAGAAGTGGTTACGCGTTACGCGCTGGGTGTTGGGTGTGTCTTACTGACAGAATGACAGCTGCGTCACTCTTATTAGTTGTATCTTACAACATACCTTTCTAGACACCTCTCGGTAGTGTGAGCTGTGGCTCCACCATCCCCACCCCGCAGGTTATGGGCCCCTCTCCGCCCCCTCCCTTTGGTAGCCAGCTGCGCATGCCCCCTGGGTGCGGTGCCGCTCCGGTCGCGGTGCGCTGTGACGGGGCTCCCTGTCGCCGTTTCAGTTGTTCCCCCGACAGGTGCGGTTCGGGACGCTGACACCGCCGGACGGAGCGCCGCCGCCCAGTCCGACGGTGGCGGCCCGACTGCGCGGAGGACCCGGCCGGCTGCCCCGCACCATGATGGAGCTGCGACTCAACAAGGTGGGACGGAGAATTGAGAGGGTAGAACTAGGAGAGGAGAGCGATTGAGTACTGACCGGGCCTCTTTGCGTGCGTGTAATTCAATAGCTCAGATTTGTCATCGATCCCTAGACTCCACTCCTCCCAAAGCTAAGTCCCTCGCTCTTCATATCTCTTCGTTTAACTGATCCTTCCCGTCCCCCTCAGGTGTCTAAACTAACTCGTCTCCCTATTCCTGTCAGGTGTCTTAACTGACGCCTCCTCGCTCCCTCTCAGGTGCGCTGTCAGGCCGAGGAGTACCCGGAGAACACAGAGGAGGCGCGCCGGTTTGTACTGGCCGTCCAGGACGTGGAGATGCTGGACAGGATCGCCACCTCGGACATCAACAAGTTCCTCTACCAGTACTCGTCAGAGAGCTGTCCCCGACAGGCGCACTCCAATATGGTGCGTGATGTTGGAGCCAGGACAGAGGCTTGGTGGGAAAATGTTATCGCACCAAACTGAAAACTCGAAATCTATTTGTAATGCGTGTGCAAAGTACAGTTGGCATTTTCCCAACGTCGCGTTTTGTATTAATGATACCAACATCTTGCAGGTTACTTTGAAACTCAAACTCAAACTGATATTAAAGGATCAATGCAGTTATGACGCCCCTAAAACCTAAACATCATTAAAGCGTCATCGCTTTACCCGTTCACCGCCTGCCTGTTTCACATCGCTTACTCTCCTTCTGTCTTCCTCAGATTCTTCTGAAGGCGCTGAGCCGCCGGCCGGACCCTGCCGTGGACACGGAGGAGTGTGACGTACGGCTCTCGCTCTGTCCGATCCGCCTCAACGTCGACCAGGACGCCCTGTTCTTCCTCCGGGACTTCTTCAAGGAGGTGGCAGGGGACGTGGCTGGTGAGTGCTCAGGGAGGGTAGGAGGGTTTGTGCGGGGAAGTGATGGGGTTGGGTGAACGGATGTTGATGAGATCTGTGTTTAGAGGGCGGACGTTCAGATGATTTGACCTTCCGTAAGCAAAGGGGCATCCGTGTGGATATAAACTAATGTGCTTAGTCGTAGGACTGATGTGTCTCTACATAAGAGTATTTTTAGCGACATTAGAATCTATTTTTACACCGGTTTCACCGTATGGCGTGTCCTACCGGATACTGCCAAGTGTAGTTAAATGTTATGTTTCGTGTGCTAGCTAGTTCATCTTTCATCATTATGCATAAATTATCCTAATCGTTTTCATCATTTTCTGCCCCCCCCCCTCCCCATTCGCCGACTCTGACCTCCCCCTTCCCCGCTCCGGCAGGCGGCTCCGGCTCCGGCGTTCCGGTGCCGGCCGGCTCGGACGCCCCTGTCCTATCCATCACCCAGCAGGACGCACCGTTTGACCTGGCCGACGATCGGGCCGACGCAGAGGGAGAAGACGATGACGACGATGAGGGAGAGGATGAGGACAGGCTGCCCCCGCAGGCCGCCCGCTCGGCGGCCGCCGACACGCAAAAAACGTTCTTCAGGTATGTGCCGAGAGGGCAGGGCTAGAGTGCGTTAGATGATCGGGCTTTTAATTAACCGGGAGCAATATCGTATAGTGAGGCGCTGTTGGCTGCTTATTGGCGGTAGTGCATTCAAAAGGCTTCTTTGTTTTTACCTACTTTTGGAGTGACTGATAAAGAATATGGCGTTTAATCAACAGTTCTTATCAGAAACCGTCAAAATGGAGTGCATCGTGTTCCACTACTTACACCAGCTGGCAGCCGGACAAGTTGCCGTCGTTGATCAATAGCGATTTATCATTAAACGACACCATCGTTTGAAGTGTTGACCCGCAGTGCCGTGCCGTGACCCTCTCCCCCGTCCTCTGCGGCAGAACGTTTACCTTCTCCCCGGAGGTACTGATCCGAATCGACTACCAAGGGAAGCGTGTGGATATTGGCCAGTTCGGACCGGTGATCGGACTCATCATCGGACTGGGCCAGCTCAGCTGCTCTGAGATTCGACTCAAACGCATCAGCCACAAGAGCGGGTACGTCGGCTGTTCTCTTTTATTAGCTTGCGCACGCTGGTTCGCACTCACACAGGTCTCATCAGCTGTAAAATGATCAGATTTTAAAATGATGGCTAAGAGACCATTGCTATTCAGTGATCAGTCTGTATGCGCTTCAATCGCGTACGCTTCAGTGTACTTTGTTAGTGCTTATGAGAGACCTTTACTGAAGGGAACCCTGCGCGGTAAGTCTCTGACCTCTCTCCGCGCCGCCCCGTCAGCCTGCTCGGCCTGGACCGTCTGGTGCAGCACGCGCTCAACGAGTGGCTGACGGACATCCGACGGAACCAGCTGCCCAGCGTGCTCGGCGGTATCGGACCCATGCACTCCTTCGTCCAGCTGTGTGAGTGGCGGGATGGTGTCGGGAAGGTTGGGGACTGGAGAGTCGGGGTAGGATGTGTTGAATAAGAGGGCGAATGATTTTCGTCGGGGTGGTCGGTTTATATGCAGTGTTAATTCGCCCTGGAGTTACTTGTAGGACGTGCTTGAAACGTGTAATGTGATTTTTTCTTTAGCGTTTCAGTATTTGTCGATTATGTTTTGGAATGCTTCAATGGTCGCTTATCTCGTCCCTCGTCTCTCCGCTAAGACTCGCATCTACTCCCGCCTGTCACGCCCGTCCCGCCAGCACCCACCTCCTTCCCTGACGTCCTCAGCCACTCACTATAAATGTCTGTTACTACTCCCTATGTTGACTCCCTTGGTCTGCCGCCGGCTGCAGTCCAGGGTATCCGCGACCTGGTGTGGATGCCCATTGAGCAGTACCAGAAGGACGGCAGGATCTACAAGGGCCTGCAGCGGGGCGCCAACAGCTTCACCACCTCCACCGCCATGGCCTTCCTCGAGCTCACCAACCGGCTCGTCGGATATGTTCAGGTGGGCGGGGTGTCCATAGAGATCTTATATACATAGAGATGACACGCCTATGTTAAAGCACTTGATTTCGTGGCGATTCAGTGGGTCTTTTTAAGCAAGGTTTTCTGGGGTGCCATGGCCCGTGACTTGCATTTTGTAAGGATTCGGTCAAGGAGATTGTGTTCACATCCGCTTATTTTTAAGTACAGCTTTTCTTTTTTGTCTAGCTGTGACGCTTTCGAGCGTTATTATTGAAATGAAATTAGGCATGTTTTAACCTTATGCTCGTATCAGGCACTACATGTATCATTTACCCTCGCCGGCCGACGGGGGGGGGGGGGGGTGCCGCCCCCCATAGGGTTTTTCACGATAGCTCCGAACACGCCGGCGATAGAGAGCTGAAACTTGGCATATCTACCTGACCTTTGATCCAAGCCGCATTTTGTGACACCAACCGCATTTTCAGGTCAGGTCAGGTCACTGACCTGTGACGTCATAAGTGAACCTCTGCACAGTCCTCAGATGTCGCAACTTCGCAACGCCGTCAGTGCCAGAGGAACTTTCACAGGGAGATGAAACTTACATACAGGATGTAGTATCCTCCAGAGGTCTCACAGCTTGTATATCTCGGATTTTCCCTAAAAATCACATGAGGTCAGGTCGGCCACGTGACCTCACCAATAATCACCATTAGGTATAACTCAATGGGGAAAAATGAAAACTGCTATGTTAGCGCCGAGAACTATCTCAAACTGTCTCCAGCACATGGAATCGTGATTTCTTGCACGCCTTGCAACGTCCGATTCTTCACTTTTGCATTGTTGACATTGCGTGACGTCATTTATGGTCACTTGGGTCATTAGAGTTTTTCATCAATAACTCCCCATCAAATTGAGTTAGCGAGTCGGGAAGGCCACAAAAAAAAAACTCAGGAAGACCTGCCGATTCGAGTAATATGTAACATGACCTCTTTCAATCATCTTCGTGATCTGGGGGCGCTGACCTGCCCTTGACCCGAGGTTAACACCTCAAGTTGACCTCACCCGAACAAAAAGTATACCATTCGACGCGCCTGAGCGAGGTGAACACGATGATGCCAAAATCGCGGCTCTCCGACCGTTTTTTGCGAAGTTATGAAAAACTGAACCCTTGCCCTTGGTCACTTGACCTGACCTCAGAGGGCACCGGTTGACCTGAGACCTTAAAATCGGGTTCGCTGCGTCTTGCAACGGCGCACGCGCTTGTTTTTTTTTCCGCGACGCTCTAGCTTCTAGTGGTGTCAATCGGAACTTGAATCTTCGGAATTCCGATTTTGTCCAATGTCCAATTCGGAATTCGGTTGGACAATGACAGCACACTTTGGACAACTTTGGACAATCGCTTGCTACACCTCAACATTCTTATAAAGTAATCGTGTTAAACATTGATTGGCTATTAGAAAGCTCAGCTTTCGATATGATTACCACTTTTGAGCTGGTAACGATACATTAAAAGCAAATTAATTAACGGTGTTGAATGTAAAGTATTGCGTAGATGTCGGACATCTTTGGACAAATGGCTGGCTTGGACATTTTTGGACGGACAGTCGACGTAAGTATTGGACATTGGACGGACATTGGACATATGTTTTCTGAAATTGACATCACTACTAGCTTCATCAGGGGCGAAATGGCGAGGGAAATCGTACCCCCCACCCCTCGGACGGCGCGTATGTAGAAAACCAATAGGTCCGGGGAGGGTTAATGTATCATTGAATGGGAACATGTAACATATGTATATTTGAGCTTGCACCGTGCTCAGAAAGGTTCAGAACAGCCGTTTTCACGACGGTTGACCGGAAGCGCCAAACTTGACCAAATCTCAAGAAACCTACCCTGAAAATTCCATGAACCTGACCCAAATGACCTTAGACCTGTGACCTTTTTGGGGGGACCATGTCGAGGGGCCATAAAACATGCATAGCACAACCCAAGTAAAGTTGGGTTCATGTGCTGACCCTTGGTGACCTGACCTGTGACCTGACATGGTATTATCAGTGACCCCTAATAGCAACATATATACATACCAGTAAAACGCCTTTTGGGCGTAGAACGAGCGAGCGAGATAGTGAGCCCTGCACGTGCGGAAGGGCGACAGGGTACTTCTAACGGGCTTGTGCAAAGCACCCTTCTAACCGGTCGCTAGCGGTGTACCAAATTTCAGCACAATCGGTTCAGCCGTTCTCGAGATCTGGAATCGACCCCTGCACGTGCGCACGTGCAGCAGCACCCCAACTGTGGCACATGGATATGCATTGCCTAGTGGTTGCCTACCTACATACCATGTTTCAGCGCAATCGGCCAAGTAGTTACCAAGATATTGCAACAATTACAAAACTGACACCTCTTCGTTTTGCACGTGCCACGTGCATAAGCGGTCACCCACATGCATCGAGAATAGTCCAATACTTGGTAGAAGGAATGAATACTTGGTAGAAGGAATGAAGCTACCGTACAAAAATTATTGCATGTAAATCGGTCAAGTGATTGCTGAGATATAAGCCTCGCAAAAGCGTAACCACGGCCGGCCGGCCGCTCATACTCAGAAATTTCCGTTAATCTACGAAAGACTACGCTCGCTTCGCTCGCTCCGTAATGATTTCTTCAGACTAACAATGCCTCAGCCATATTGGCACGCTACTGGCTGAAAATAAGTTGCTTAAAAAGACCCACTGAATCGCCACGATTTTAAGTGCATGTCATCTCTATGTATATAAGATCTCTATGGGGGTGTCTCGGATGGTTGATGAGGCGTCAAGGGCAGTCATGGGTGAGAAGCAAATGGATACAAATATTATGCAGTCATGATGATTGGTACATGTTACGATGATACAAGCTAAGTAGTGGTTAGTGGTGCTGCACCGCTTGGCGTGGCTTCCGAGCCCACAGTCATCCGTTTATTCAGTTAGACTTAATATCTTTGGAGAAAAAAAAAAGAATACATTCAATGTAAGTGGACTGGGGCGCTTCTCAATTTCCCTTTCCCTTCTCCTCTGTCCGCCTGCTGACCCGTTTCCCCTCTGTGTGTCCGCCGGCAGGGCGCCTCGGAGTTCACCTACGACATGCTGTCGCCGGGACCGTCGATGCGACAGAAGCGGCGCCAGAAGCGCAGCCGACGCCGCACCTCCAACCTGCCGCAGGACCTGCGGGAGGGCGTCACGAACGCTTACGAGCTCGTCAAGGAGGTGGGTTATGCGGGCCTGATGGCTGGAGGATGGCTGCGAGGTTCATAGGACGGTGTGAACTGTGGTGTTATCATGACAATGATAACCAAAGGCTGAAAGTTCGTGACAGAGAAGGGAGGAGAATTGAAATGTTTATCGGTTTGTCTTTATATACAAATGCTAGTTTTTTATGAGGCGCTTAGATCACAAACATTCATTTGGATTGGATGAAAATGTTCTGTGTTTGTGTGATCCACACTCCACAGGCATCGCATCCAATTAAATCGTCAATGGATTTCTTTTGCTCAGTTCAATAACGTTTGAACCGCTTAGTGCAATGAATCATATTCTGACATCCCGATGAGTAAATCGCCCATTCTGGCCTCTCACTCCCTCTATTGGGATTCCTAGTGACCCGTCCCGCGCCACCCACCCACAGGGTCTGGGCGAGACGGCGCAGACTCTGGCGCGCGTGGCCGCCGAGGAGCACGACCAGAAGGGCGTGTCGGGCGCCGTGGGCGGCGTGCTCCGACAGATACCCCCCACCATGGTCAAACCCATACTGCTGGCCTCGGAGGCCACCAGCAACGTGCTGGGAGGCATGCGCAACCAGCTGGCGCCCGACGCGCGCCGAGAGGCCATCGACAAGTGGAAGGCGACAGAGTGAACAGGGGGGATTACGGAGGGGAGGGGAGAGAGGGATGGGAGTTTGGGAGAGAGGGGACGGGAAGAGAGAGATGTGTTTCTACCATAGCCAGGAATTGTGATGATAATTATGTCTAGGAGGGGAGTGAAGTACCGGGTGATTGAGTGGAAGGCTGTCGACCCAGAGGCACATATTATGGGCGGAGGGGTTCAATGTGTAATAAAGGATTTTTAGAGCACTTGCTGGGGATGTTATGTCCAGCACTGAACAATTTTCATTATGAGAGTGGATGGTCCACACGGCGCCTATCAGGTTCATTTGTGGAGCTTTGTTGAACGGGTGACTGGGCATGATCGGGGGACCGGGCAGATTGGCGGCGGCGGGCGGACGGACACACCGGCCGCCCGCCGGCCCGCTTGTTACCGTGTCTTTCTTACGCCGCATTGTGTGCGTCTGTGGATGGTGTGATAGGTCTATTTTGTAGCGGCGGCGGCGGCGGCGGCGGCCGGCCGTCATTCCGGGCGGGCGCGGCGCCCGGCCGTATGCCTCCGTGACGCTGCCGGCCGGCGATCGGCGCTTCTCCGCCTGCCGGGCCGTGTCGGCAGCCGCCGGGCCGCGCCGCCCGCGCGCTTCAGTCGAGTCCCGAGCCGGTGCTGCCGCGGGCCGGACCACAGCCTGCCCCCGAGTACCCAGTGCTGAATGTTTCCATTGTGTGCCGCATAATGCAGTGTAGCTGGATATGCACAGACGCCAATATATTTGTATCGTTGCCGGCTTGGTGTTTGGCATGAGGCGAAAAATGGAGCTCATAAATGTCTCATAGCATATACCCATACCTACGTGATCCGCGGAGTATGGACAGCCGAGAGGCGGATTTTGAGGTTGATGCTTGGAGATACGTTGATGGTATGGGTAATGGGCCTCAAGCTGACTGTGGTGGGAGGAGAATGGGCACTATGCTGTGTTGCCCATGGCGCTGATCCTGGCTGTGTCCTCTTCCGGCTTACCATAAAGTGCGGACCAAGATTCCCAAAAAGTGCAGACTGCTCGAGAGGGCCCAAGTCAGGATGGAGACTTCAAATCTATGCAAAAAGTTTTCAGTATTCAGCCTACAGCTCTTTTTTCAGCTTTTATCGCCTGTTTGGTTCGAGGCCGGTCACTAAAAACTTCAACCGTAGTGAAAATCCTTCAGATGGTAGCAACCTCCAATTTGGTAGCAGTTCAAAAATCTGACGCGTCAGTGACAAATCCTGATTCGTCAGGTGCGGAATTCGAAAGTATTTTTTAGGAGTTTTTGCGATTTTAAAGAATAGGTAGGTGTCGATTCAGTGCCCTTATTGAGCATATTTAGCAAGTGGCTTCAGGTGCATCAAAATCAAATACCATTGAGGTGGTCTGAGCCTCAGCCAACTCATCACAGCTTGTCAAGGACAGGGGGCCCTGCGTATGATTCAGATTGCTAATTTAGTCGGTTTATTTATAAGAATCAAATGCAACAAAAAAATTATAGCTTGCTCCCAATTGGTATGAATAATTTTTTAGCGATTCCTGTTTTTGGAATGCAGCCAATTCAGCTCTACTGTGGATGGGTGCAAAATGACCTCGCAGTCGGTGCGCCCCTAACCCCCAACAAACAAACAAACAAACAGCTCTACTCCGGGGCTGGAAGCTGAAGCGTCAGGCAGCAGTTTATCGTATTAAATCAGTGCTCTCAGTGCAAATTTGAATGGAAGATGTAGTGACAAAAGATGAAGGAATTAGGAATTTCATTAAGTCTAATCCTATTTGGAGCTATTATGCCAAATCGTATAACATTGAAATTGAGACCAACCAGTTTTACCAACAGAAAAATTACTGGCTGTTAGTATTTTTATGGGTATTTTGTATTTGACCTGATACCTACTCTGCAGTCTGCAGCTTTTGATGTAATATTATTGCATGGCACCTGAGATTTGAGGATGCCTCTGTTTCAACATTTCTTTTGGGGGTTGTACTTCAACTTTCTGTGCAGACACTTGAGGGGTTTATGTAGACCTGCATTAGAATGCTGCTCTGTTATGACATCTTTTAGGATGTGTAATTAATGTCAGCTACAACAGCTTTACTTCTTTTTGTGTAAGCTTATTTATATTAGGCCTTTAGCTTTACTTACTGCCTTTAATGCCTCGTAGTGGCCATGCTATTTGTTTTCTGTTGCAGGGATATGAAGAAGAGTTCAACAATCAGAATGTCCATGTTTTGCCCAGATGATCCAACAACACCATTTGGAATGATGGACAGAAATGTCACCACCAGAAGGAGAGGTCCAAAGTCCAGCAAAAAGGGTGCAAGTGAGTGATCAAAGAATTCAATGGATTCAACATCAGTTTTGATGAAGGATGGTGTTGTTGTTCTGCTCAGTGTTAGGAGTGGCATTATCATATGTTATGTTTTTTCTTTGTTGAGAATGGATTACTTACATTACATTTATCTATTCTCCATTTATATTACCAGATATATTATAGAAGTTGCTGTATTTTTCGTCATAATTTGCATAATATATTAGATCATCTGTCTTGATCAAATCATCCGTGTCAAACTGAGTCATTTGTATGTGTTTTTAATGGGCTCATCATGTCTCTCCCCTCTCCCTGACCACGCAGTGACCCTCCACTCCCTGCTCTAGGCTCCAGTAAGCTGTCACTGCGCCGACCGGAGCCGGTAGCCGGCCCTCCCTCCGACCAGGAGAACGCGCCGCCGCTGACCCCGCGCCGCCAGGGCCGCCGCCTATTCTCCCAGCCGGAGATAGTCGAGATCGAGCCAGTGGCCGAGCTGCCGCCCCCGCCGCCGCCGCCGCCTGTGGGTCTGCCGAAGGCCCGGCCGCCACTTAGACCGACGGTTGTTCAGCAGAGTAACACACAGGAGTCGGGACTGATGGAAGGATGCCGCCGAAAGGAGAAGGTTTCCCAGACACAAGGATCGCCTGCGGAACCACGACTGTGTGAAGAAGCTAAGGAGAGTAGGCTGGAGGCAGACGCACTACTGCAGAAAATGACAGAGATGTCGCTGTCAGAGGCGCCCGCGCCCCGTGGTGCCTTGGATGGCGAGGAGCGGTCAACAGCAACTCCAGCAGATGAGGAAGCGGACACAGTCGAGGTGACTGACAGAATACCGGTGACGGCCGAGTCTCCGGATCGCCGGTGTACGGGGGCACCTCCACGGCGGTCGCCGTCGGGGTCCTGTACGGCACCGGGCCGACCAACAGACGTGCCCTCTCCCGCCAGAAGTGAGTCACGGAGCGCGGAGGACCCTGCGCCAGTGACCGCGGTACAATCAGAGCCACGCCAGCCGTCCTCAGACTCGTTCGTCTCCGCGGCGTCTTCTCCTGTGGTGGGTCGGCCGGCGGCGGCCCGCACTCCCGCTGCACGCGCCGCTCCTCCGGTCACAGCTGCCTCTCCTGTACCCGACTCCGTCAGACGCTCAGCTTCCGACTCTGACTCTGACTCCGGCTCCGAGCGCAGTCTGCCCTACTTCACCCCGCGGCGTCCGGCGCGGCGCCGAGCGCCCGCCGCCGTCCAGGAGAGCTCTAGTTCGTCGGACGAGGCCAGTGACGCCGGCGGCGGCAGGCAGGCGCCACTGCTGACTCGCGCCCTGCGCCGACTACCAGCCACCACGTCCACCCCTGCGCCGGGTGTGGCGGCTGGCTGGCGGCTGGACGCCACCGGTATGCCCTCACCGGTATTGGAGGCGGATCCGACGCCGTCGCCGCCTCTTGCGCGGCTGAATAAGATAGGGTCACCGCAGAAGGCTGAAGGGGCGCTGTCAGGTGGTGTGGCGTCTAAAGCCGGTGGAGAGAGACATGGAGCGAACACCGCCGTGGAACAGTCGGGAGCGGGCTCGTCTGTCATCATGGGGGAGTACCGGAGAGGGGCAGCTCCCGCCGCGCAGCGCACGCTCGCGGAGGAGACCTCTGAGGATTCCTCCCCGTCCGTGGAGTTAGTGACTGCGCCCGCTCGCCGGCAGAAGACAGCGCGACCGGTCGAATCGTCACCATCGCCGGTCAGGGAGCCGCCCCCGCCGGCGGTCAGGCAGCCTTCCCCTCCTCCGTCGCCGGCAGCCGTCCCGGCAGTGGCGGCCCGCGCTCCTCTGCGCGCCCCGGCGGCGGGAGGAGGGCGGCCGGCGGCGTCACCGGCGGCCCGCCCGCCGCGACTGCCGCCCGGAGTCTCGGCGGCCGTGGACGTGGCGCGCTGGCTGGAGGAGAGTCCGCTGCTGTCGGCCGTCTCGGAGGAGTCAGATGTGGTGGTGATCGACTCGGACCACGAGTGGGACGACTCGGACCTGCTCAGCGTGTCTGAGCGCGCTGCCGCCGCGCTGGTGGAGCCCGACTCGGGCCTCGAGCCGCCGCCGCCGCGGCCCAGGAGCGGCCGGGCGCGGCCAGAGAGGTCGCCACAGGCGCCCCCGCCGCGCAACACTCGGCGCCAGTCGTCCGGCTCGTCGGCGTCAGAGGACGAGCTCGAGAAATGTGAGAACGATTTACCATGCCTGGCTGCAGCTTAACTTACCTATGCTATTGGTCATTGATTCTTTCTCGAGAAAATGAATTGTGGCTTTGCTGAATTTGAAACCCATCATATTATTGGCTTATAACCCTCGCCCGCACATGCCATTTTCCCATCCTAGAACGCACATGGGGGGGGGGGGGGGGTTGCCACCCCCCCCCGCGCCATTTCGTTCCTGTTGGAGATAGAGCTTAGCAGTGAAGACCAAAAAGATTCTTTGGGAAGAGACGAATCCAATGATACCCAGTTTTACCTTCTCAGGTCAGTCATTGACCTTCCAGGTCAGGTCAAACTAAAAAATGTTGCTGTTTTGGGTCACCGTTGGATATCAAGTGCGCTGCTTATCAAATACCGATGACGATGCTGTTTTCTGGTGCCAAGCCAGCTAGAACCTCTTTGTGACACTATCCGACCAGAATTTTGCTGCTGAGGTCATTTCAGGTCAAGTTAGGTCAAGGTCAATTATATGTGTTTGTATGTCTGTGTGTGTCTGTGTGTATACTGATGTGTGCACCGATTGTTTTTGGGTCCATATCACATGAAATCATGATCTGAGAAGCTTTTACCAAAAATGCAGTCAAAAAATACTTCACAAAAAGTAAATTCAGCTTGCCTAAAACGCAATTATCTTAGATGACCTAGGTTGATCTTGACCCTGACCTTGACCCCTGTACATCGTCGAACAACATGTTCCATGATAGGTGGGAGGTAAGACTGGCAAAAAAGGCCGAAATCAGGGTGTCAAAAGCTCACAAGGCCCATGGCAAACGCAAGATGTTGAAAATTGGCCATTTGGGTCATGACATGACCTGAAAAACAAGGTCATATCTCCGAAACAAAAAATCACAGAAACTTGAAATTTTCAGTGGACATCAAGAAAGGATAGACGAGCAGCTATACGAAAAATCAGCCTTCTAGCTCTAAAAATGTTGAGTGCAGAGCAGAAAGACTGCCTGGGGGGGGTGGCAACCACCCCCCCCCCCCATGTGCGGGCGAGGGATAATAGGCTAACCAAATTTCACTGTCAAACGTGGGACAAAAACGCTTCCAATCAGCATGGAATTCTCCTTAATCGACGTTTTCATCATTAAGAGTTTGTATTTTATGTCTTATGTCATGTTTTACAATTGACTGGTTCTTGACTTCCTTTCACTCAACATTCGGCCAACGTTAACTGTGTGTGTGTTTGACCCGCGCTTCTCCACTGACCCCCAGTCAAACGCCAATTTGTGACC